GGGGGGGGGGGTCATCGCAGAAAACTAATGAAGTCCATGACATAGTTGACTGTGATTAGTGACGAATATTTCTCAGCTATTTTTGTTCATTTTGTACTCAATGGAATAAAATTCAAAGTGGCAGGCAATATAATGCTTATAATGTGGAATTTCAACTTGCGTATCATCGGCACAGGATATCTACAGTGTGATTTCTAGACCACAAATAGGGCCTACTATAAAAACATTCCACGTCTAGTATATTCATTCCACTGCCAAAGTTTTTGGATTAATTTTGAGTGCAAATATTTTAAAGGTGCTCTCCGGTATCGTTTCAAGTGCCCCCTCCTGGAACCACGTTGTCGAACAACCGACCAATGATGATCGAGATAAGTTATCTGTTACCCGGGCGACATTGCGGTGGTCATGTGACGTAGATTTAAAAGGCACGCCGAGCCATTGTCGGTGCATTTTGGCATTGGAACAGTACCCTGCGAGCATTGGTTCCTATAAATCCTGTTCTCTGTAAAGTTTGTAGAATTCCACACAGAAGATGTTACTGGTAGCTGTATGTCTGGGGATACTGGCTGTGGCCGCGGCAGATAAAAAGCCCTGCTGTGCACCTCCACAGTGGGAAGGACTGATTGGAGAGACAATCGGTGGAGACCATGAGGGCAAACCCTGGCTTTTACAGGTACGACGTGGGTCAGCCTGCAAACGTTACAGCGTAGAATCATTGGAACTCAGATTGTAGATGTAATGCTTTATTTTACATGAAACACGTTGATATGTATATCTTTTATTACCAACTAGAATACACAACACTGGGAATTATAATTATGCAGCGGAATAAGAAATATGATGGTAATTGTGTTTTTACTTTGCATGAACCAGTGATTCTAAATAAAAGCCTGTTATCTGAATTTGTGCGGTTTCTTTCTGATTTTTTGTTTTATCCTGACTGTCCTGACGCAGCCGTTATCTATTTTTATATAGGGGAATTGCAAACCCTGCAAATGTCTGGATAAATGAGCAATTTCAGAAAGGTACGCAATCATGTACTAGAAGCTGAATTCCTAAGTTTATGTTCGGTTTTTGGTCGATTTCAGGAGGGTGCCCAGCTGTCGGTCTCGTGGCCAGATAAAAAGATGAACGTGATGGGCCAGGCCAACATGACTGGCGGAACCAGTGTCATGTTCAGGGTCATTCTGGATTACAAGGCGGTCAGTAGGATATTTTATTTTTTATCGCATTCTGTCCATTTTACATTCATTCTCTTGCGTTTATTCGTTTATTCATTTACGAAGGTAGTAACTGATTTTCATTTCAGAAACAACAATACACCATAGTCCACAAAAAATGCACTAAAGCTGCCATTGCAGACGAAATGATTAACGGAGTCCCATGTGAGTATCATGGGATAATTTGGAACAACTCGGCTTTCGTATGCTGAGTCATGCCAGTGCCCCGTTTTGGTGTCGGAATCATCCGAGACTTACCGAAGAACGTTATCCCTTTATTTTACATTTGTAGTTATGCAAAACAGAGATACAAAGACTATTGTTTTTATAGTTCTATTTTCAAAGATAATCTTTGTTAACTTCCCAATCAACGTACTTGACAGAGATACAAAGACTATTGTTTTTATAGTTCTATTTTCAAAGATAATCTTTGTTTACTTCCCAATCAACGTACTGAACTGTTTAGTCCTAGCCAATGCCACGTCTTATACAGGGCGCCAAATTTTACCACTCTTTGAAACTATGAGGAAAGCTAGGGGAGGGGTGTCCTTCACCTGTGAGATACACAATAAAAACCCAAAGCTCATTCCTAAATGCATTAACGGCACTTTCCGCCGTCTATTTCATTCCAGCCAACGCCACCTACGCTGGCACCTTCTACTTTGGCGCCGGCAAGGATAACGAGTTGATGTTCGACACGTGGCTGGTCAAGTACAAAGGCATGGACTTCCAGTCTGAACTGACCACCACTGTGAAGGACTGCATCCCCATCAGCTGGTTTGCCTTCGGGACGGTCAACAAAGGTACACAAACCTCGTGTTTCTGGCCAGTATAACTACATCAGCATATTTAACTTGAGGGCCGGCGTAGCACCGTTACCATTGTTGTCATTTTATCATTGACTGCTTTGTCATCGTTCTCTCAGAACGAACTAGATAAACTACGAATAATATACGACCATTTACATTTAAGCATTTCATATAATTATATGGGTATTTGGCTCATCAACCAAACTTTTGGTCCGAAAACTTAATGGCAGAAAGCACCGTTTTGAAAAGTACTAGTTCAGTTGTCCGCGCCGTACCTTGTGGAATTTCCTTTGTTATTTTAAAACATTACGGCTGGGCTTGTGATAAATAAGTATACATTTTTGGTATAACATGCAATAGCATATATCACTATCAGATAATAGCATATATAACTATCAGATAAGATATCTTCATCATATATGAGCCACGTGACATAACGTATGTGTATTATCATTTCAGATAAGCTGATAGAGACGGTTGGGTTTGTGAATGTCACCCTTGGAATTAAGGACAACAGCGTTTTTACTGTGCCAGACATCTGCAAGAAGGCGTCTAATGAGGTAGGTCAAGGGACAGGAAGGGATCAGTTTTATGCAATGACGCTTGTTACACTATAGTAATAAATATGTCCCTACAATATATACTTAAAGCGGTAACCATAGTCACATTTTTATGAAAAAAATTATTATGTTGATTGCTCTTATTTAACGGCAAATATTTTGGAGATACTGATGTGATTTGAAATTAACCATAAATACTTATCTAATGGTTTTGTAAATAATTGAATTAAAACGACGTAATATGTCTGTAACTTAATATGCCCTTGTTTCTTTTTCAGTACCCACACCCAGTACTGGCGGGTATGGATGGAATGTTCCGACTGAAGTTATAAGTCAAGTAGCTATGACGTCACTTTAATCAATGAAGTCACATATTTCAATGACGTCATACAGACACCAATGGCCATGATGTCACAAGCACACATGACACCGCATCAAAAAGAACTTAGATGCATTTTTATGAAATATACATCTGTTTGGTATGATCAACGAGGCGTGTTGCTCGGTTGTTATCATAAAGACAAAACATCTCCAATAAAGATTTCTCTTAATCGAATGACATTTTGTTGTTAAATTTATTTTACCTGTACCACGGAAGGGGACTCTTCTAACTGTCGAACATAATTTTACAAATGCAGGGGTGCGAAACCATCCGATTTGATAAAAATAACTTTTGAAATGTTGAAAAAACGTAAGTGCTTGAACCATTACCTTTATGTAATTAAAGGGATAATAACTCTTGTATGAGATCTATATTTCACAATAAAAACATTGTGAATAACTCATAGAAATATAATAAATTCTGTTTTACCACAAAAACGGCAGTTATAGCTATTATTGTGATATCTGAGCTTGTCTTTAGACCACGTGACCTCCATTGATGGTATACTCTGTTAAAATCTCTTAAGAGATTTTAACAGAAAAACAAACTTAGAAAAAAACAGGGACTAACTTTGTATGTAAAAATGGAATCATTAACCATTGGTTAGTATGGGAAAATTGTTGTTTACTCCAGGAAAATTCATTTTTGGCCGTAACGAAGAGTTATTACCCTTTTAATGGCCATCTGTAAAATACCTACAATGGAATCGCGTCAAATTTCACAGATATTATACGCTAGCGAACATGATCGGGGCCTACAGATATTCACTTCGGCTGCCTAGATTTTGTATACAAGAGAATGCATGCTTCGTGCAGCTTGTTGTTGTTGACCTTCCAAAGGTTGGTCATCATTGGGATATACTGTATATGGGTCTCAAATGTTTTTGTTATATTATTTGTGTGAGGGCGCATACTGTATACAGTACGTGTATACGTGTGGGCGTGTATTTAGTCTGTATCAGCTAGATTTTGATTGGGCCTTGTTACATATTTGTGACATTTTGCTAGTAAAAGCTTAGTATTTCAAAAATGACTTTTAAAAAAATCTTATATTAAGTGAAAAATACTTTTTAGAAAAATATCTTATGCTAAAGAGAAAAATACGGTAAATTACATTGCTACGTCAAATATTTTTTGTATGTTGATGTTTTTTCTATCCAATTTGGTAACATTTTCATAATAATAATAATAATAATAATAATAAAATAATAATAATAATAATAATAATTCTTTAAATTTGCCATAGTTCAAAGCATAATGTAAAATTAATGAGTAAAATTTAAATATGAATCGAAGGATCAAACCAAATAAGAAAACTCTGCAAACATATTTAAAACTTTTAAATTATAAATTATTCCAAGATATACTGGATGCAAATGTTGCTAAAACAATAGGAATGTTAAGATAGAAATTTTGTGACCGTAGGTTCAAACAATTTTCTTGAGTTCTTTTTAATAGTGAAGAAGAATTAGATCTAGGTGTCATAAATTCAGTAGATTTGATGTAAACGGTCCTAACATTGTAATAAGTATAAGGGCATTCTCTTCTATCAAATCTTAAAAAACAGTTAATGAATAACAAAAATTTAAAAACATTACTTTAAAACTGGATGCGACTGCATTTCTTTGAGAACTGTTTTGAATTTGACCTTGATGACCATATTATTGAGAGGGTCCCATGTATGAAAATATTTTGGGTGTAATGTTTGAACATTTGTCTTTTTTACTAAGAATGCCTTGGCACAAGTAGCACGTCTATTTAGTTCATTCAGGAAGAAAAACCTTCGAGTCTTTTTAAAAATATATGTATGACACTGACAGCAAACTAACAGATTTTCAATTGCGCAACCTCCACACTACAAATACAGCTGATTCAATATTCGATAGTTGACAATGTGACCCTCAGTTTTTCACAATAATTGGTGGTGTCCCAGTTGATGGTGCGTCCTACTGTTGTTGGAGAGGGCACTACGTAGTAGTATTATAGGAGATTCAGTGCTTGCTGTAAACATCTCTTCTTCAGAGCCGATAAAAATCACTAAAATATCCTTGCATTTGAAATGTTTTTTATTATAATTCTCACGCGTGAATTACGGTTATATGCTCATTTTGTCTGCATTGGTTAAAATACGTCCAGGTGTTAAAGTCTGTGTACTTGCATTTGCCCTCTACCCCCCCCTCCCCCGGCACCCTGAGTCAATCACGCAGTCACCTTATGACTGGGTGACCATCTGACTGTCAGGTGACACAGATATAAAGGCACGTACGATTCGTCAATGTTAGCGCATTAAAAACACTGGAACAGCATCGTGCGCGCATTGGTTCCTATTAATCCTGTTCTTTGTAAAGTTTGTACAACTCCACACACATCATGTTGCTGGTAGCGGTATGTCTTGGGATACTGGCTGTGGCCGCAGCAGATAAAAAGCCCTGCTGTGCGCCTCCTCAGTGGGAAGGACTTCTGGCGGAGAAGATGGGTACAGACCACCAGGGCAAGGCCTGGCTTTTACAGGTACCACACAATGTACAGGGTGCGGGGCATGGAGTTTATGGAGGGGTTTTTATATGAGACGCCAGGTGAAGTCGTTATTTATTTATTTATTTATTTATTTATTTATTATATTTTTTAAATCTCAAATATTTTAGACTTATTTTCAGTCCTGGTGATATTTCAGGAGGGTGCGTTGATGTCTGTGTCATGGCCAGACAAGAAGATAAACTTCATGGGTCAGGTAAACGCTACAGGGGGCACCAGTGTCAAGTTCAGAGTCATTCAAGATTACAAGGCGGTGAGCAGAAATACTTACACAGCAGTCCTTCCTTCATCGTCTATGCTTTTATTGACATATTCAATCGCTCGTCTTTACACTCACTTCTTTACTTAGAGATACATTCATTCTAGCCCCCCTCCCTCTCACCCACACACCAATACACGGCATATTTGTACCCGGTATGTAACTACAAGGTACTTAGTCTGCAAGAAAAAAAAGATTTTTTCTCGTAATTTCAGATGCATTAAAAACGATAGGGTGTTTTGTGTTAGTTCATCATTGTGGGTTACTTGATTGAGTCTGTGATTTATGAACTTCATGATTTTTATTGTAGAAGCAACAGTATGCTATAGTCCACAAAAACTGCACTAAAACTGCCCTTGCGGAGGAAATGATCAACGGAGTCCCACGTGAGTAACGCTGGAACGTCTGGAACACCTTGCAATTTGCTAATATAGGGGCAATAGTTTCTTCTTGTACTGGTTACCCTGCTTAAACATGGCAACAGTAAGTTTTCTAACGAACATAAGGGAGGGGCTGGTACAAAAATCCATTGTTGCATTAACGACTCTTTCCACCATTGGGTTGTTTCCAGCCAATGCCACGTACGTTGGTACTTTCTACCTTGGCGCCGGCAAAGACAACGAGCTGATGTTTGACACGTGGCTGATCAAGTACAAAGGCATGGACTTCCAGTCTGAACTGGCCACCACCGTGAAGGACTGCATCCCCATGAGCTGGTTTGCCTTCGGAACGGTCAACAAAGGTACATAAACCTCGTGTTACTGCATTGCCAGTTACCACATCAGAGTATATACAGTGGACAGTTAGAATTTTTTGGTAATTTTGTTCTATGGAATAGGTTTTCAATTGAGCATGAATGATTATCAAAGTGGAATACTGTGCTGGCTCCTGTTTAAATGGTCCAAGTGTGCCCTTTTGATTTGAAAAATTAAAGAAAAACAAAAACAGAGAATGTGATGTAAAATGGGATTATCGCATGTATGCACTTTTGTCTATTGCAATGACTATTAATTGTCCTGTTTCTAAATTCATAACCAGTGTTTCTAATTATCAGACAACATATCATGATATCAGGCCCTCCTGACCTAACCTTTACGTTTTTATCACTTCAGATAAACTGATCCAGTCTGCTGGCATTGTGAACGTGACACTTGGAATTAAGGACAACAGCGTTTTTACTGTGCCAGACATCTGCAAGAAGGCGTCAAATGAGGTAAGTCGAGGGACCGGGACATTCCTGTTATACTGTGTGTTAACTAATGACAGCTTCATCACTGTTAAATATATTAAACCGCAATTTATTTCAGTCCATACCGCTGCGATGTCTTGATTATATACCAGTACAGGGACATACTGCTACTTGTAGAACGAAATACATGTCACTTTTTGATAACTGTTTAAAAAAAAACAACAGATTTTAATTGGTCGATCAACGTACGTTTAACATACAATAAATTACCGATACATACAGACTACTGTACATGAACCTGTATGTATACATGTAATAAAAAAATTCCCTGTGTGCAAAGCAAGCGTTGTCGTGTTTGCCTGATTGTCCAAAGGCAAGTGAACATATTTGTAAGAGGTACAGTTGTACGTGTTAAATGTCTGTAACTTCATTTGCTGTAACTTCATTTCTATTTCAGTACCCACACCCAGTCCTGGCGGGTATGGCTGACCAGTTCCGTCTGCGGCTGTAAGTCAACATAATGTGACGTACGCGTATAAACCGTGATTAACGACGTCACATGTACACCAAAAAACAATGATGTCAAACGTACAGCAAAGTGACATCACATATGAACGAATAACAATGACGTTGTCAATGGACACGTTGCAGAGAATTTTTGTTGGACAAAAGATTCTGAAAGAACCTGTTTGTCTCTGTACTATGCAACACATTGGATTTATTCAAAGAAAGTGGTGAACATGTGGCTGTAAAGGTTACATAACACATTTTCAATAAAGATTTCTTCCTGACTTGAACCATTTTTGTTGTTTACGGTAGCAGTATTTAGGGCTCACCAAACATTATACTAATGTTTTGTAAAACTGGATTTAACGTCAAATCTTGAAAGGAAGAATAGAATCAAAACAAAAGTTAATTTTTAAAATTATTATTCATTGTAGGGATAAAATCTGAGGGGTATAAATAAAAAACACAAATGAAAAATTAAAGTTTTTCACTAAAAGTACAAGCATAGCTTAAAGGCTAGACAGTACAGGTACTAGTACATGGAATATGAGATACTAGTGGCATACTTAATTACTGGATCTAGATTTACCTGTTCATGTATTACAGAATGATGTAAAGTTTTAAAAAAAGTTAGAATCCTTTATCTGCATTGAACAGATCACCAGGTATTCTATAGAGACAAAAATGACACTATCTTTTCTATTAGCATTATGAATGTCACATACAACCATTAAAAAAGTTTGATTACATGTAAATAGGTGGGTATCTTCTTCCTGCATGCCACTGTTATTTTAACAAGTGAAAACAATATTAATACAAGTGACAGTGTTAACATGCAAGTGTAAGATATATCTACAGGATACTGTCAGTACGAACTCTTCTCTCCATATATTATACTTGTAGTCATACTGGTCTCAACAGACAATGACAAAGTCAGCTGAGCTCTCAAAAAACAGAACAGACTAGTTTTTACCTGTGAATAAAACAAACCATTTAATATTGAAACTGCACAAGATATAATGCAGCAGTTGAGAACTCAGAAGGGATTTTGAATAAATGACAGTATAAAATCCTGGATCCCTAAATGTACACATTAGTAAAAGAGACAATCCAGCTGTCAGCCCTACTGTTACTCTAATTTAGTAAGAACAGGACAGAACCAGTTTCTGTATAAAATACATGTACTAGTTATGTATTCAAGTCTACTGAAACATTGGGTACATTAACCATATATTAACCATTACTGTGAAGTAACTAATCTCAAAATTTAACCAAACAGAAGTTATTAACTTTGTGATTCTGCCACATAGGCAAAGAACATGATATCCATAATCTAAGTATGTTTATATGTATGTAATGCTCCATAGCGCGGCCCTCTGGGGTATTTGACATTTTTTGGAACTCAAGACACATGAAAAACATTGCAGCATTCACATGAAAAGTGGGGGCGTCTTAAGAGTCCAAAGGTTCATTGGTCCGAAAAATCTTAGCATTTTCGTCAGTTTTTTAATCAAGGGTTCGTTGGTCCGAAGGTTCTTTAGTGAAGTTTCAAACCAATGAACCTTGGGACTATTGAACCTTCAGACTATTGCTATGGCCCCTGAAAAACAATCTTCATCAGTGGAGAGTTCTACATTGTGACCTGATTAAAAAGACTGTGATGTTACTGCTTCGCAGAAGTATCTCCTCTACTGTCATCTGTAAACTTCAAGTGGGAGAGACACCTCACTTCTTCTGCAACAAACAGTTCATGACTTTACTCACAGCTTCAATAATTAACAACTTAAGATGTGTGCCAATTAAAAACTATTGGCAACAGTACATAAAACACTAAGACTCTAAATCCATCGTTTTTGACCAGTTTATTAAAGATAGCTGGACTTTTTAGAACTGCAGAACGTGATTCTGAAAAATAATGTTCTATATTATTTTAATGTACTATAGTATGCTGTGAAGGGATTGGGAGTAAGGTTTGAATTAAATAATATCCCCTTCCATTAATATTTGCAGACAGGTTTACCTTTTTCTTCTTTCCTTTTCCCTTTTTCTTCTTCTTTTTAAGTCCTGTTGCCAGTTTACAGATTGCACTGAAGGTTTCAGAGGCCATTCTGGTTGTGGTCTTTAACTTAACACCACCAAGTTTTCCTGGAGCTAGAACACCAAACAACAGCCAGGGAATTAGCACTGAGTGAATAGGCACGCACCACAATTCATTAAACAGAACACTCTTGGCTTAAGCCTATTAAACCTACTTCAACTTTTTGTTATAGCACAGTTAGAAATGGATAACTAGCAATTTGCCTTTACAACTGGCATTGTTTCAACCTAGTTTCAGTCATTTGTAATCTTTCTTAAACCACCTTTTTGTAGCTACATTGACATTAAATTTAGCTTTGAAGGGAAAGAAAAAAATCTTCAGATCCAGAAAATAGGCAATAATGACAGAACAAAAATCAAAAACAATTCAATAAAAAATGGCAATGTAAACAGCAGAGCACCTGCAGACTGAAATGATGTAAAAACTGTTGTTCATTAAGCTTAAGTTATAGGGGGTTGCCAGCAAGATGATGATGACCCTTTGGGTTTTAATTTGTGGAACTGTGTGAAATCAGAGCCCATTAATTAGTATTCTGTTATCTCACCTTCTTTCCTGTCTTTTAATGCTTCCAAGATTTCCTTTCCTCCCAGTTCTCCTATGTGATTGTCTTCAAGGTCAATTTCTTCAAGACACAGAGAGTTTGCAATAAGCCTGGAAGAATGTGTACAGTGCTGTACAGTGCTGTAGTAGTGCTCAATTCATTATCACACCCAACACAATGTTAGCAGCACAACTACCACAATGAGAAACGACCAAATTCATCTCTAAATTATAAGAGTAATATGTTCATTCTTTCTAAATGCTTGAATTGCTTACTTCCTGAACAACCTCATACATATGAGAGGTGCGAACTGGGAACCGGCGCCATAGGCATCTATTCCATTGTCCGCCAGGTGAAGCTTGTGTACCCAGGGACCCACGGCGGGAGGCGGAGGGGGCTCCTTCTTCTTCTTCTTTTTACCTTAACACAACAAGCATTAAACTGTCATCAACTTGGCATAAAAGATTGCATTAACTAGATTTCTGGACTTGTTTTTAATTTTCCTCCCTACAAACTCAAGTTCATTTAAAGCAACACATAAATATCAACATTACCAACCTAGAAACTGATTTACAGAAGTAACACCTCATAAGTTAAAAGATTTAACATTTTTCTATAAAAGCAGTTCAGTAACCTTTCTTTTTCTTCTTTCCTTTTCCTTTCCCTCCTGCAGAGCCAGGTTTCTCAGCGTCTTTTTTCTCCCCTCCTTCTCCACTGACTGCAGAGCCTATACGGTCAATGTGTCTGCCTTCCTTTTCTGGAAAAAGTAAGGTTCAAGTAATAATAATTCAAAGTTTTAACTGGTTATTGTTTTTTTAGTTAAGTTTCTTAAGTTACCTCAAGAGGTTGAATGCCACTTCGTTATGAACATTAATGCTAATTCTATTTATATGCAATTATTTTAATCCCATACATATAATCCACAATCTTCTCTTTTACCTCTTTCCCCATCCAGACTTATTCAACTTTCTATTCATTTTCACTTACATGAACCATGGAACACTAAATCTTTAAACACCTGCATGTTCTCTCTCTCTCTCTCTCTCTCTCTCTCTCTCTCTCTCTCTCTCTCTCTCTCTCTCTCTCAGATTCAGTAAAAATGCTCCACGTACCCATGAGTGCAGCTTCTGCCTCTGCCTCCAGTCTAAGTCTCTCATTCTCTGCTCTCTCAAAAGCCTCCAACTCTGCATTGTCTGCACACAGTTTGATCAGCTCCATGGCTCCTTCACACTGGAGATCATTGCCGTCCAGGTACAGCTCTCTAGAAGTCAGGCACAAAGTCTAACATTAAAGAACAAACAACTTCCCAACCAGGACTTCACACTATAATTCACTTGCACATGTACATTGATGTAGCTCTCAAAAAAGAGAGAGAGAGAGAGAGAGAAGTTTGCCAAAGAGTACAGTGTCTTACATACCTGACAGCTGTGGTAGAGAGTATAAAGCCCAGTGTCTTACATACCTGACAGCTGTGGTAGAGAGTATAAAGCCCAGTGTCTTACATACCTGACAGCTGTGGTAGAGAGTATAAAGCCCAATGTCTTACATACCTAACAGCTGTGGTAGAGAGTATAAAGCCCAGTGTCTTCCCACTCTCTGGTCCCAGCTCACAGTAACACAGACTAATGGAGAGCATTGTGACGTTGTTCTCCAGACCCAGACACAAGTTTCTACAGCCCTCGTCACCAAACCTGACCAAGAAAACATACAGGACTGACAGACACAATACCAGGCAAATGTCTCCTTATATATAGACACTATTCACTTAGAGAATGATGCCCTTTTAGAAAGTTTGGTAATTTCATTTCTTAAATAAAAATTTCTTGGCAAAAATAATACTTATAATTATTATAATAATAATGCTCAATTGCAACAAAAATTATGAACGGTTAAATAAATATGTGATATATGCTGTTGATAAAGGGATCAACAAATATTTGCATAATATTCCTATATATATATATATTGTGACTTACTCATTGTAGTCCAGTACCAGTGTGGTGAGTGAAGGACAGAAGGTGAATGACCTGAAACAGGACAGTGACATGGTTACCATTGACAACAGAAGGTGAATGACCTGAAACAAGACAGTGACACGGTCACCAATGACAACAGAACGTGAATGACCTGAAACAGGACAGTGACATGGTTACCATTGACAACAGAAGGTGAATGACCTGAAACAGGACAGTGGCACGGTTACCATTGACAACAGAAGGGGAATAACATTCANATATGTCCCATACGTGTAAATCTTTGATGTGGACGTATCTTTCTTTACGGATTGCACTTATCATTGGTTCGACTAGGACTTTAGGATCATCTTTGCTCATGGTGGGAATAGCCTCAAGAATAACCTGTAATATTAATAATTGAGCATCTTTTATACTGTAAATCCTTACCACAATATCAATTAACCAAAATCACTTTGCATTTTATAAATTGTGCATGCCATTTTGCCATCTTAATTAATCTTGTGAAAGATTGCAGGAAAATTGACCATCTCTCCTTTAATTATCTTCACTGTCTCTTCAATACATTATTACATTTAACACATTGACCTTTACTAAGACTGTGTTATTATCTTCACAGTTCCTTCAGTACATTATTGCATCTAATAGACTGACCTTCACTAAGACTGTGTTATTCTCAATGCAGTTCTTCATCAGTTTCTTCAAGTTCGGATCCATGACAGAATTGGTTTCCTTGCAGTTGTTTTCATAGGTTTTATACAAACTTTTAACCATCTTATCTGGGATCTAAAACATACATGTATACGTACATTAAATCACTCTGCAAGTGGTATTCATACTAGTACTTTCTTTATATTCCTATTCAGAAATCAGAGCTCATTATGTATCTATAACTTGCATGCAAACATCAAAACAGATCAAAGATGAAAACATAAAAGAATGTCATGAAAGGTTGACAATATACACCTGCCCATCAAAATATTTATTGAAAATGCTAGTACTAGCTCATGTGCAACATTTATAAGACAGTTTTACAGCAATATTTTGATCAAGGTTGGACTGCAATACCCATGCAATGAAGTACTTGGATTATACATACTGGTAACTTTATTCCTCTTTTTTAAACATATTTTTTCAATAATGTTTGAAAAACGTTATTGCCAATGATACCACATTGTTCTGAAACTGTTTCTAAACACAATATATGCTAATACCCATTCTAACTTATGATGATACTTATGAAGACTCATATGTACAGTAACTTACCATGTACCAGTTGCTGTTTTTGTAAAAGTCAGTTCTATGAGAAATATTCAAATATCACTGCACTAGTGCAGCTACTATCAGATATCCTACCTCTCCACTCTTCAAGGACTTCTTCTTCTTCCCCTTCTTCTTCCCCTTGCCTTTCTTCTTTGGCATCTTGGCTTATTACTTTAACTTAGCTGCAAAACTATAAGGTGCTTTAAATGCTTTAACTGCATATTGTTTCAGTCAAGCTAGTATGTTGTTTATCACCTTTAAATTGATAGCAACTATTGACCTTTGTCTAAAGCACATACTTCAGCAAAATCTACAAATGTACACATCCAGTCTTACAGGCATTTTGAATGAAGTCAGCAGCTTAACTTAAGTTGTCTTAATATCTTAGCATAATTTTTCGTGATTACTTATGGTCGTATCTTTACTTTAGCTATCATACACCATACAATACCGTCCTGGAGTGCCCATGTACCAATACAGATGTGCCTGTACAATATACTAGTACATGCATGTGTACATGTACATGTACTGTAGAGTACATGTATTGTATGAGAGCGCCGCTAATCTCACAGAAATTCTTCCAACAGTTTGCTAAAAATTGCTTAAGCAACAGAATACATATTTGCCTGATGCAAATAAACCATTGTCAGCAAAATACAAAGTTTTCTTACCTTGATTTTCCCTGAATGTCAGTCTAACACATGCTTTTTCCGAGCACCTGCTTCAGCCACCCACAGGTTGCCAAGGCCGCCATTTTTGTATACAATACGCACCAAAAAGTTGCCAATGACTAGTTTTACATGTTTATGCAATATGGCAATGTGGTTTCAATGTTTCACAAAATAAAACATAAATAAGCTAATAATGGGAAAATTATAAGGTTTTTTTTATTCAAGATGGTTTATTTTTTGTATAATTTTGTGAAATTCTATGTTTTATGTCAACTCATCGTTGCGCGCGTTACTACTTATACACTAAGATGGCGACCAGGTGGCAGACCAGCGCTTGGCTGGTTTTCCTTTGTTTTCTAGCATGGCGGGATTATACCACAGAAATATCTGCTCACGAACAGTCACACAAATCTGCAAAAGATATCCGAGCGCCTAAGCTCTCAAAATTCACGGGTCCAGCGCTAAAATTTTTATACTGGTTCGTATCACTTTCTTTAGTTATAAAGTATTCACTGTGTCTACTTACTGACAGCCCGGGAGCCACTGGTCTGCCGCTAGGTGGCTATTAAACAAACCGGAAGTTCGAGAATTTGAATTGGGCAATATTTTTTGAGATTTATAGGGTGTCATAAACGGTGTATTATCTCGGCTATTAACGTACTTGGGGTTACAATATGTACATTGTCATATTGAGAAATAAATTTCGAATAATGTGAGATGACCCAAAAGTTGATCTACAGCATATTTAATGTTGAAAAATGAGTTTGAAATCGAAATTTTATTAAAGCTATTACGGAAGTTCGTTTTTGATTTTGATTTTTGTACCTATAGAGGCCTCCGCACAACTTGAAATTACTACAAGTTGTGGAAAATTTATTCAGCTTTCTGTCAATGTAAGCATGTAAAGAACTTTGCCTTAAGCTGTGAATGGCACAAATCAATTCACGGCCATGTCAGCCTGAAAACTCTCACTTACGATATCCGCATATAAGCCTCGCTTTGACTTAGTGCTTTCTCATGAGCTTCAGTCTCGTTTTAGTTTTTCCTTCACACAGTATTACTTATATAGAGCGACTGGGTATTGGGGACAATGAAATAATTTATTTCTTGGCACTTACCACGGTGCTAATACAANAATGTCGTAAAGTCCCCATATACCTCCATAGAGACAATAAAATAGAGTAAGCTTGTGAAACAAACCTGACCCAGTTCCAACAGAATAATCGAAATAAAATACTGCCGGGCATCGGAGCGGCCTAAAACTTGGCACGCTTACCGCTAATACTGCAGGCTCCTCTCTAACCTACCATTACAAAAAAGAAGCCATGCCATTGGACAATGCGACCTCTGCGGGTACGTCATTTCCTGAATTGGATTGTTAAGAGGACCGAGATAAACATCAGAGGTGGAATTTTGATTTACAGCGTATGCCATGCACGGAATTTACAAACGAGCGACGGGATGATGTAGCCTGCAGTATTAGCGGTAAGCGTGCCAAGTTTTAGGCCGCTCCGATGCCCGGCAGTATTTTATTTCGATTATTCTGTTGGAACTGGGTCAGGTTTGTTTCACAAGCTTACTCTATTTTATTGTCTCTATGGAGGTATATGGGGACTTTACGACATTGGGTTTGAAGGCTTTAACCACTTGTTATAGTTTATTTTTGCATTCTTTTGGATTAATGTGGCAGTCCAAGGTTGTCCTAGGTGATTTTCAAGTTTATGCACCCGGTTTTAATATCATTTAGCGATTTTACGACAATCGTTTACTATCCAATCAAGGTGACAGCCGAGCGTGATTTACGATTACCGGAAATATCTTTTCATTTTATGATTCATCCTTTTGTATATACATTTATGTAATATATTCTGTGGGGAAAGGATCATGAATGTCTTCAAGTATTAGATTACCGATGTCCAGGGTGGAAACTGTAATAAACCTAGATTTTAAGGCATGTTTATGTATTCACTGACTTGGACATCAGAAATTTCCCCAGTTCTCTTTATGTTTCTAGTAAAAGCATTAAAAAAAAAAAACATTAAATTTGCTGCCAGGTCAAGTAATATGATTGGCAGAAACATTGATCAAAGTCACTACATAACTAAATTTAGCAAAGCGTTGAGTATCGATCTATGATTGAACTTGTTCAGAGCACCCTTGCCAGTGTCAGGGGAACTGTTCAGAATGATTTAGTGAGCATTAACCCCATGTAGACTTTCACTGAGTGCATCAGTGTTAGCTATTATGACCGAACTTACTCTGAATGGCCTCAGAGTCAGTTTATCTAGCATTGTTCCACCACAAAGAGTAATTACAGTTCAGAGATATAATTACACTATAGGGATGCCAAGCATGCTTACCTTTGGGCTAATGTATGAAAGCGACAAAGCAAGTCACCTACACCTGAGGCAGGGAAAGGGGGTTGCTTGGAGGGGATCAGCTTAGTGTGCCCCAGTTATTTATATGTGATTATTTTCTGTTCCAGATATTCCTGAGGGTATCAAAAGCTGTATGAGCAGTTTTCCTATGCCATACAGCAAAAGTACCCAGCCCTCAGTGTGCCTCAGTCATGTATATGTGTTTGTTTTCTGTTCCAGCTATTCCTGAGGGTATCAAAAGCTGTATGAGCAGTTTTCCTATGCCATACAGCAAAAGTACCCAGCCCTCAGTGTGCAGGGAGGCAACTACCCACCACCCCCACTGAAGGCCACCATAGCTCAAATATTAGGACTTGTCAAAATTGGTTTAATCATCATGATAGCTAGTGGATTTAATCCTTTCCCTGCTCTTGGAGTAGACACGCCATCAGCCTATACCTGGGCCTCAGAGAATAAGGTAGGAATACTTTTGCAGGCTTAGAAACTGGATTTTGGATTTAACAGTTTTTGGATTTTTTTCTGTACTCATGATATTAAAAAAACACTTTTCTATGAATTTACTAGTAGACAATATTTATTTATTTTTTTATAATCTGAAGAAAGTGTGAAAAAGCTGCAGTGCTTTAGTAGTGAACTGTGAAGGGTCTTGATGTATTTTATAAAGTGAAAATTCAAAATATTCTTAACAGTGAGCTGTTTATGTCACCATGATAGCTGATTTGATAATTTCAGAGTTGTAGCTTGCACGTGTGTCTTATCTTCCAGGTCTATGCATGTTTGATGCTGTTTTTTATTTGCAATGCAGTTGAGGGACAGCTGATCTCTACAGGAGCATTTGAAGTCACATTTAACGGTACAGTTTTGTGTGAGTGTGTGTGTGTGTGTTTATTTTAAATGGAGTCGAGGGAAAGTTGATTTCTGCTGGGGCTTTGAAGTCACCTTTAACTGTTTTAAAAAATCAACATAAACCTAAATCAAACAACAGTGAAGAGCCTCAAGGACAAGAAAAATGTTTCATGAAGCACATTCTTGTAGAGCTGGGAAGGGGGGTTAAAGTCTGCAAATTGCCCTTCCAGTGTAATAAATGTTATGTAATGTAATAGTGGGTATTTTACTTAGTCTGTTATCTGTCTACCGACTTGTGTCCATGTTATAATTAAAAACAGAATGGTGCAGTGATAAAAAACTCTAATGTTAATCCTGTTGTTTGAAATGTATGTTTATTTTAAAGATATTATGTCAATAAATTGGATGTTTTAAAGAGTAATATAAAATTTCAGATGTCCCAATTTGGTCTAAATTAGAGACAGGTCGAATCCCATCTCCACAGGAGTTTTTCCAGATTATTGATAATAACATGCGTATGACTCAGGAAGGGGTGATGTCATAGCAAGGTTCACTTTGACGGTAAGTGAATTGTGTTAGTTGTGACCAGTGTTTTGACCATTGTGTAATCTGTGAACATTGCATTAGTGGTGACCATTGTGTTAGTTGTGACCAGAATTGTGATCATTGTCAGTTGTAATCATTGTGTTAGTTGTAACTGTGAGTTCGTTCCAGCGTCATTTGTTATGCATTCCCCATGCCTGCCTGTATTACCACACTGTGTGTATTCTGGTATTCTGAGTAGATATTATTATGTTTTCAGCTGATAGAAGCTGTCATTTCTGGGTGTTCCTGGCCCAGCTTATGACTGTCTACACAGAAAGCAGAGTGACTGCCAGTGTGGACATGATGCTATTGGACCAGGAGCACCAGGACAGGACACTTCACACAGGGTCAAATATGGACTGATGCTAGAATACAACACAACTTACCTAAGACTAGTGTTTTTTTAATTATATGTATCCAGAGTTTTACTACTGCCTGCAGTTTATGAAGAGTGCGGGGCAGAGTTATCTTTGAAGACATTGAAGGCTGTAGGTTCAATGGGGTAGGGGGGGGGGGGTATTGATTTGGGGAATTAGAGTGAGTATTGGGGAGGGGGGGGAAACAAAGGAGGGTATTAATTGGATTAAAGGGGGAGGGGGATTGAGTAAATCCTCCATGTTAAGATGGTGCAAATCATTTTTATTTTGATTAGTGGAAGATGGAATATTTCCTAGTACACAAGATACTGTTTCCATCAGATGGTTTGCTGGCTCTTGATTTCTTCTTTATTAGTAATGCAGTGATACTGTCTGCACTGCATTTAGTTCAGTATAGAGATAAGACAGGGGGTTATAGGCATGTAATAATTCAGTTCAGTTTTAATAACAACCTATTTTGTCTTTATTTAATCAAGATTTTGCCTTATTTTATATGTAGGTTGTTAAAAATAATTAACTTTGTGTATTTTGACCATAGATGACTGTTCTTACAGAAATAAGAAATTAATTAGGTGTTATTAAGAAGCTACTGATATATAGTTATAGTGAAGTTATGTCACTTGACACACAACCTTATTTAAGAGAACTGTGGTCCTTTGTATAATTACAGTATTAAAACTACATGTTTATGGTCCATAGTGCGTAGTGAATGTCTAGCCTTTGATTCAGCATATTTTTTTCTGCATATTTTAACTAGACATGGGTATTGTTCTGTCATACGAAACTGAATAAAACCAGATATTCTATGTGAATAAAACCAGATTGTAAATAACCATTCTTATTACACCACTTTATTTAAAGCCCAAGATATCCTGTAACACTAAGACTATCTTGGTGAGAGAGGTTTGTTGGCGAATCCTCTGAAAATCAAACAAATTCTTAGTCATAGTGCTGTGTTCCTCAATTTAGAGGGTAATGTTCACTTTCTTTAAGTTGATTATATTGATAAGATGTAATATGTATTGATTATATGTAATGTGCAATAAAAAGGATGTTTTAACAATTAGTTCATTATTTTGTGTTACTTAAGTTATAAGTCAATAGTGTGGTTTCCTTAATGTAATTATTAGGGAAATGCTGGAATCATCTTGTAAACTTTACAGACCTGAATTCATTGGTAAACAAGACTAGTCTATGCTCAACATTTATTATGGTTCTCCTTGTCGGACAAAAATACAACCCATGAATATTTGATTTGACATTAAAACTATACACAATACAACAGGCAGTTCAATGGCAGCAAGATATATCTGAAACAGAAAATGGCCTGTCATTATCAGTATTTTTAAAATGTATTAAAAGGCACAAATCTTTAAAAATTACCACTGAGAATAAAACTAATGATAAAATATTATTTCTCTTTATACACTTGTCAAACTTAGGGAACATCATACTACTAGTGATTGGGTCATCATCCTCTGCCATTTCCATGACCTCTGACCTCTGTATGCCACAATGTATGTCATGACCTCTGTATGCCACAATGTCATGACCTCTGTATGCCACAATGTATGTCATGACCTCTGTATGCCACAATATATGCATGACCTCTGACCTTGTATGCCACAATGTCATGACCTCTGTATGCCACAATGTATGTCATGACCTCTGTATGCCACAATATATGCATGACCTCTGACCTTGTATGCCACAATGTCATGACCTCTGTATGCCACAGTGTATGTCATGACCTCTGACCTCTGTATGCAATATATGTCCTGTCATTTGTATGCCTGTGTCCCGACCTCTGATCTCTTATGATACAATGTATGTCCTGACCTCTGACCTTTATATGCCTCCCGGGGTTCTAGTGGCCTGACGCTGACTGACAAAACGTGCTTTTTTATCAGAAACGGCATGTCAATTCTGATTATATTCAAGAGATCTTAGTACTCTAATGTTTGTGAAGTGTCAACACATAAATTACTCTCACGTAGTCACTTAACACCGCTTACATCACTACTTAAAAAGGCGCATTAATAAAAGGCAAGCGACTGGCACCAAGTTTCCTTCAGGTGTGTAATGACGCCAGTAGATGGGATACTTTTTCATTTTTGTGTAGTCCTACGTTACGTGTTTATATTGAGTTCTTTATTGACAACCGGCGTGTCGCCATCTAGCTGAAGAACACTCCTAACTGTCCGACCACGTGTTGATTTCAGAAATGACACGAAATCTGAAAACAAAAATACAACCATAAATATTAATTGTTTTAAAATGGTGTAATTTATTAACAGTATACTAAAATTTCAGGGTGAAATTTTTTCTGAATGCAAACTTTTAAAGATGCATACAAAGTCAATTTTTTGTCACAAAAACCAACTAAATGCCAGTATATAGTTTCAAGTAGTATAACTAATAGAATTACCAAAAGGCATTGTTTAATTTTACCAAAAAATGATGTTTGAACGGATTTTTCTGCTGCCATTTTAAGCTGTATGTCAATGGGGCAGGAAAGTAGGTCACGAAAGTAGGTTAAATTTACAACCAAAAATTTAAAGAAAGGAGCAGTGTAAAGGTCTTTTATGGCTGATCGAGTGATCTATTCAGTTTATCCCTTGGCATGTCGAATTTATTTGAGTCATATAAGAATCTAGTAGAAGTGGTTTACAGGTGTTACTGGGAATCCACGCTCGGTTCGTATGTACCTTTAAGCAAACAACATAACTGGCATGTTAAAATACACGAGAAATAACCAGTACTATCAGTGATCCTGTTACTATGGTAGCATGTAATGTGGATATGGAGCGTTACTTTACACAAGGTTACATCAGACCAAAAGTCGACCAGAATTGTATTATGAGAAGTATGAAGTAACGAAGAGGACTCTCGTTATGTTTGGAATCTTTGTGTAGGACGGCTTCAAAGTCGGTTTTCAGTCTAAAGTAGTCCTGATATCAACGCAGCCTCTGACGTCATTCTTACTTGTCCCTCCTGTCCCCTGAGCCGAGTGGTGTTGGCGTTCTTCTTTGTTTTGTGACGGTTTAAGAACGTAGCTTGAAAGATAATGAGAACACTTACATTAATAGTGCGATTATCTGAATATTAATAAGAGCCATCAGCCGAAATATCTCATATGAGTTACTTTTTACAGTTTGAGTAAAGAGTATCATAACAACTTCTTTTGGTGTTGCTCAGCTTTAAACTGTCTTTTAGACTCACTGCACATACAGTGATAACAGATGTTGTAAAGATAAAATATACGGCTTACTCTACTGCCATTAGAAGATTTCAATGTACATTACAGTTATATTATGTATTGTTTTAAATATAAAATTGCTGTATACGGCTTACTCTACTGCCACTAGGAGATGAGATGTTCGAAAGTCCACCAAGGCCTTCAAGCACTGGTTGTACGCTGTTTTCACTCCATCGTGCTGGGACTGCTGAACTGAAATGAGAAGGCGATAGAAGTATATGTGATTCTGGATCAAAGTATGACTGAAAGCACGCCGATGTTTGTTTTTTAAATATACAATAATAGAACATGGCGATCCAAGAGACAGAAGTAGTTTAGAGCTAATTAAGTAATATAATTAGAATTGGTGTAAAATATCGAACACAGGTACTAGTATGCAGGGATGATTCGTGAATGAGCGAAAAAAGATTATTTTCGGAAAATTCAATCTGGCTGGAAACTTCAGGACAGAATACCATTTACGTTCTAGGCGACGGCAACAGACCAGAAGTTCCAAATGTTTATTTATTCATTTATTTTAATAATACTACTGATCAAATAAATGTTGTCATTACCAACTCTATTAAATGTATAATTTCAATAAAATTAATTTACCCAAGCCTTCATACAGTAGGCCTATATAAAATAAACAAAACGAAGAGGTCTGAACTGTAAAACGTTGTTCCTGTTAAGCACGAGTTCCCAGATCCTTACCGTAAGTCTTCAGGGATGGCCCAGTTTCAACGGTGTATAGGAACTCCCTGTGTCCGGCTGGCATATACTCCCTGATTTGCTTCAGATAACGGTCCGCATCTACAACAAAGCATACAATGTGTTCATGTAATTCTCCTGATGGAAGGCAGATCATTTAAACTAACCACAGGTTTGTTATTTTTTAGTTATTTGCTGTAGGCTTGTTTTTAGGACGATTCGACATTCGAATATTACTCGCAATTGTTAAAAAACGTTTTATATTGAGTTTTTTATGCGTAAAAAGCCGCGTTAGTACGAATCACATGGTACATGTTGGTGATAGGCGTAAAGCAGGCGACCAGGGTATGTAAAGGTTCTGCGACAATCTGATCTTAAGTTGGTAACGTTCAGGCCGACTTCTGGCGCCGGTGTTTCAGAACCCGTCCTGGTGTATAGTATGTATCTGAACAGTTACCTTCTGAGTGTTCAACTCCCAGCACTGCGTCCAAGACCTGTATAGTGGAGCTCTGTGCTGCACTGCCGCCTACAAACTGATAGACAGAACAATATCATCATTTGATTTAAGTTCAACTAGCATATAGACAACAAGCTAGCTGGCAGTGGTGGGAAAGAAGCATTCCGAATGCAGGACGGTATCAATTGAAGTTGATGGGAACTTCCTTTTAACGCTGTGCCCCACGTGCCCCCCCCCCCCCCACAAGCATTATCCTATCGTCAAATTAGCTTTGAATTTATATGATTTAAACGATACATGTGCGATATACATACCTGTAACGGCGTGTCGCTTATGCCTTCAAAAATCAAACCCTCAGGAAGCAGTTTGCTGTGGGCTCCCCAGCTGGAAAATGTACAAACCTCGAAATGATCAAACCTGATTTTTATTAACATACTTGTAATTACACAGTCTCCTTCTGGCAATATTCAAATTTTATACAACTTTCAAACAATTTAAGAGCTTTCAAAATACGCTGAGTGTCAAAGAACACTGTTTCCTTTAACTCACCCTTCATAAAATGGTCTCAGAACATTATAAAACACTGCTGGATCAAGCCTCTCTGAAGAATTAAACAAACACTTGGGTTATTGCAATTATCTAGTCCCAGCTAGTATGGATTCCAAACGGTCCAATGCAATTTTCTGCCATAAAGTGAAATAAAGTCCCAGAACCAAATACAACCACTGGCCTGCGTTTCCAGTTTTTCACAATATTCATTGCAATACGATGTGCAATACCTCCGACATTACATGTTAACAGGAAAAGAACGTCAGATGTCTTTGTGGTCTTGTCCAAAGTCTAATTTCCGTTCAATGACGCACACTTGTAATCGTACCAACTCCCATATAATGTATATAAGCAGATACTTCTATCATTCTTATATGTATAAGCAATGGCCAAGGGGAATTTTTTTTATAGAAAATCGACAGAAGCCCCAGTCTACATACCGTACATTCTGGTGGTAGTTTGCTGCATACGGCGCACGGTATTTTCGATGCCTTTTAATCCCAATATCAGCCTCCTCTCATCCTCAGAGTCCATAGAGTCGTAGATGTCAACGATATCCTATTAAAACAATAACCCGTAATCTTAATGGGAAGGATATTTCTAAATATACGGTAAATTATGTGAATACTTGTACGCTCGGTTTTCTACTGTTCTGAATATAAAAAATCGTGTATAATTATGCAAGGAAAGTAGATAAAACGTAGCTATTTGCTGAGTAAGCCTGTTCTGCTGCCCCCCTCCCACCCCACCCACCCACCCATTGCGCCAGGTAGCTAGGACGTCGGTGTAGGTATACCTGGATTCCTTTAGCGAAGTCAAGCTCCACCTGGATTAAAACCAGTGAAAACCAATCTGTGTGTGGACTTCCAGGGGCGGGGCAAATCACCTCCAGGTTGCTGAAATAACATATAACATAACAGATAACATATCACATAACATATCACATAACAGATAACATAACATATAACATAACAGATAACATAACATATAACATAACATATATATCAGGCCGGGGCGTAGAATTTGAATGTACTAGAATTTAAGGACAACTTTAATTTAAAACACCAAGTTACGATCTTTGTCTTCAGATAAGAATTGTAGGGGAGACCGGGGCTAGTTGGCCCAGTTAGACACTTTTGGCCTTGTAGAGCCAACTAGGAATGGGTTAGAGTAACAAAAGCGGTTTCAAAGTAAGCCCCATGAACTAAGCTACGTATGCAACGTCATTATTTTTCAAATATAATGCCAGATGGCTCACAATTTGACAAAAAACGCAGTTGACGTCAAGGGGGCCAACTTGCCCCGCCACGGGGCAAGTTGGCCCCAGGGTCGGGGCAAGTTGGACCCCCTATACGAAAATGAAGTATATATCCCATGTAAACGCCTTGAAATACATTTGTATACATTTTTAATTTATTAAATTGATGAATAAATAGTTCAAATGAGGCAGATTTATTGAGGTTTCCGTACGTCACGTTGTGTGTGTGTGTGTGTGTGTGGGGGGGGGGGGGTATGTGTTGCAAGAAATCTATCAATAAAATTTGTTTTGTTTTAACTAAGAAAAAATTAATAATGTTATAAAGCAGTTTTTTATAATGAATGAAAACGAATAATAAATTTACGTTTTAAAAGAAAGTAACAAATTCAGTTTTAAACCATTGAGTTTGTTTCAACAATGGTCTCTATCTAGGGAGGGGCGGAAAATTCCCCTTGGGGCCACATATAACACTGTAAATACAATAAAATCACCTTACAATGAATTAAGGCAAAATAAATGTTTTTCTAAGGAAAGTCCAATGGATTTGCTTTCTAATACATACAATCAACAGAACATTTCTAATATAAATTTTCGAAAAGACACCAGAGAGCAAATTTAAAAAAAAATCAATTAGACGGTAAACACCGGCAAGCTTTGTCAATTTCACCAACTTGTTTATTTCAAGAAGTTACAACTTCTTGTTTATTTCAAACAGCGTTGCGCGCAAAGGATTGTGGGTAATATGAGGGTCCAACTTGCCCCGAGTCAAGGGGGCCAACTAGCCCCGGGTGCACATTATTTATTTTAAGGGATGGCAGCCATTTATGGTGCTAGAATGAGCAACGATGATACATATCTGTGAAACTTGAAACAATGAGCTTCAGTTTGATGCCCTATACATATCTTATATTCGATCAAAAGCCTATGAAAATAGATTTTGAAATCTCTTAAACAAAATTACTTTTAGGTGCAAAAATAGTTTATTTAGACTCACCGCTTAATTAAAACTTTTTAACGGCCGACACTTCCTTAGCATTGTAGGCTTCGGTCACTTTACAAGAGTATGTGGCCAATTTTTTTACCTCGTAGTTACTTTTTCAGAAAATGACGGGGGGCCAACTTACCCCGGGGTCCAACTAGCCCCGGTCTCCCCTATAAACTTGTTCAAACCAGAATCTTCTTGATTCTAGTTTTGAGTACTGGCCGGACTTATAATAGTTTTTTTCAGCAATTAGAAAGTAGAATAACAACAAATACCAAGACTTACCTCAGATCTAATTCCCTGTAAAAATATAATAAATAAATTTTATGCAACAAAATATGTGCCTTGGGAGCACGTCATTTATTATCCAATCCAGATAGAAAACTTACAAAATGCTTGACATAAAAGTTAAATATGTATGTATGAACGTATGTATGAATGTTCATATTTACTATGTATTCATGTAAATGTTCCGTTACCAGCCTGGTGAGATTGGAAACTTACGGTTGCGCGGTTAGCTTCTCGCCTACGCCTGGGTCCAGCCGCACTCAGAAGTCATCAACTCACCTGTTCGGGTCCACCTTCCTCCCCATAGCTAGAACGCAGTCCAGGTAACAATAGACTGGGTTGAGGCCCAAATACTGGGAAATGTGGAACCATGGAATGGCGACTGCCTTTGGAAGAATCTGAGAAATGGTATTCCCATAAATAATTTGTGAAAAGTCTGAAGAAATGCCTGTAATTATCAACGTCACATTGCTAAGATTTGACCACGATATTACCCTTATATCTTTATATTTGATTGTATTCAATAGTGTCAAGGAACACCTACCTTGGGTATGTCATTATCTTGCCACACAAAACAATGGGCAATCGTAGCCAACAGTGTATGGGCCAGACAATACTCCTCCTGTCCGTTCAGTAGGTGAAAATCTAGGAGTGGCAACTAGGGAACAAGGAAGTAATCATATATATATATATATATATATATATATATATATATATATATATATATATATATATATATATGCTATGAAGTGCACATAATTAATCTGAGGCCCTGGTAGAAGATAGGCTTCTTCATATATATGTTGAATGGGAGGGCAGGTGAGTAAATGTGATTTTGTGACATAATAATTTGCAAGCATTGTACACATGAGATTTGGTCAATTGATTATTTGAAATAATCCGCCGATGCTAAAGATGAATGAATAAAACATAAATAATATGTAAAATATATAAACAGAACGGCTTATAAAAAATTGTATAAAGTTTTAAAGTGTTAACGTTATAATAATAACAGACATTCGTCACAAAAAGTTAAATACAAGTGTAAGACTTCTAGTTTTTATTATAACCTACCTACTATACAACATTGGTCAAAAAGGTTGTCCCACCTTCAGTATCATGTGCTTTTATTTATAAAAGATCACATCACAGGTGAAGAGTGTTATAAATAGTGATTTTCATTCCAGATATCATAACTAACATGATTAGTGATACAGAAAATACAAACTAGCGGTAAAGATATCAATATTTCATACCATTTATTCACATTTATTACATGCACCCCCTCAAATCCGACATTTCACTGTGATTTTCACAGAGGTAAAGAAATGTCCATTAAATTGAAATGACACCACCAAATGTAACCAAATTTACACACATTTGGCATAAGAGTGTGCTCGTTAATTACTCCTTGTATAATAGCGTTTGCGTTTACCGCGTACTGTTATTACTTCCTGTAGGTGGCGCGGCCTGCCTTGAACAAGGGTAACAATTCTGTTTTATGTGATATTGTCCCATTCTTCCCAAAGAGCTTGGGGGAGTTGGTCCAGATTATTAGGAGTATGGTTCTCCTTTCCATTGCACACTTCAATTCATGCCACAGATGTTTAGTAGGGTTAATAACTTTGCTCAAAGGTGGTTGCTCTATCCTCTGAACATTGGGTTTCTGCAACAAATCACTCAGCAGACGAGAGTTATGAGCACGTGCATTTCCACGATGACACCTGCAGTATCTCTGAAGTCACCTCTTTCAAATGGAGTTAGACATTTGTTGAAGACGTTTTCGTGAATTGCCCCAATAACTTTTTTCCGGAAAGAACAATGCATTGAAACCATGGGTTTGGAATTCTCTCCAAACGTGGTCTGACCTGACACCTCAGGCGATATTATTTTGCACAAACCTTCCAAAAAGCATTATGCAACATGTCTACGGACCCTAATTTGACCAGCGAAGGCATTCAAGAAATACCTTGATTCTTCAGCAAAACCAACTTGTTCCTAGTGATGGTTGACCAAGTTCTGGTAGTTCTGGGGTCACTGAACCAAACATTCTCAACTGATACCTCATTCCATCTGCAAGAGGGGACTTAGGGGTGTTCCAGGCTTCATCATGACAGCACACTTGCACGCAGTTCTCAGGTGGTGAGTGATTTGTTGCAGAAACCTTAAGTTCTGAGGCTGGAGAAAACATCTTTGAATCCTGATAATAAACCTACTGAGAACCCGTGGCATGAATTGAAGTGTGCAAACCAGAGGAGAACCAAACCCCAACTAGTCTGGACCAATTCCGCCAAGCTTTTTAGGAAACATGGGGCAAAATCAAACAAAACAGAATTGTTACCCTTGTTGAAGGCGGTGGCGCCGTCTACAGGGGATAATTATAGTGCGCGGAAGCTACACACGCTAATAGACACGTAACCTTTAATGAGCACACCCTAATGCTAAATGTGTGTAAATTTGGTGACTTTTGGTGGTGTCATTTCAATTTAATGGGCATTTCTTTATTTCCATGGAAATGACAGTGGAACATCGGATTTGAGGGGTTACACGTAATAAATGTGAATTAATGGTATTAAATATGGATATCTTAACTGCTACTTTGTATTTTCTGCACCAATAATCATGTTAGTTATGGTATCCGGAATGAAAATCACTATTTATAACAAATTTCACCCATGAGCTGATCATTTATAAATAAAAGTACATGAAATTGGGGGTGGGACAACCTTTTTGACCAATGTTGTATGTACAGGGGTACCCCTATCACATCACTGCCATGATGACACTTAGTTTTATTATTACCTACCGACTTGGTACACGGGGTACCCCTATCACATCACTGCCATGATAACACTTAGTTTATCAAGTAGTTATAACTGTTATAACTCCTTGGTTTTATTATAACCTACAGGCCCGTAGCTAGCAATTTCAAAGGGGGGGTTCTTTTTCTGAAAAAGTGGACCTTTTACCATATAATCCCCATGTACCTAGGTCAAATTTTACACAGAGTGGACCTTTTTCCAGCAAAAAGGGGGGTTCTTTCGAACCCCCCGAACCCCCCTGGCTACGGGCCTGACCTACCTACTAGGTACACGAGGTACCCCTATCACATCACTGCCATGATAACACTTAGTTTTATTACAACCTACCTACTAGGTACACGAGGTATCCCTATCACGTCACTGCCATGATAACACTTAGTTTTATTATAACCTACCTACTAGGTACACGGGGTACCCCTATCACATCACTGCCATGATGACACTTAGTTTTATTATAACCTACCTACTAGGTACACGGGGTACCCCTATCACATCACTGATAACACTTAGTTTTATGTCACATACAGTACATGTGCACACAATAATATTCTGTTACTGTACAACTTGCTGTATACAGTCGGTAAAGTATATTAAACCTACTTTGTACACTTCACTTCTAAGTTTCCGCGATGCCATAAGTTGGGCGGCATTCTTGCCGAGTTTTTCCCATGGTAAAAAATATCCAGGAAGATGATCCTGAAAGTAGAACGAGTGTTTCTTTAAGAACTGAATGGAATAGAACAAAAGAGAGTTGAACTCCCAAGAAGAAGGCACGTTGGGTACAATGATAATTCTGGCACTCGCGTTAAAGAAAAGTGCACATAATGTATTAGCGGCCCTGGTAGAGGTGGGCTTTCTTCGTCTCTAAATGTGCCCACGAAATATGGCACAGATGTTGAGCTTGCATGCTTATGCCGGGATTTGGCGAACATTTTGATGAACTCTTATATCAGGTCATAGGTAAGTTGCCAAGTTTATAATTATTCACGCACGAATTATGCACGAATTAGCTTTTTCGGATGCGCCTGTTACTGTGAAATTGATAGGGATAGTGGGTCCAGAATGGTAACGTTACGGGCGTCGATAAAAAAAATAACTAACATAATGATGTTATATAGAGTTAACTCATATTATGTCATTAAATAAAATGTCTGCGAAAAATTATGCTCTTAGGTGTGATTGGTAATTACCTATAGCTCCCGCTGCCAAAATACATTTTTTATCGCACAAATTACAAAAGGGCGTCCGACACTGAAATCATTGCACTGTATGGTCGGCTGACTGCAGGGGCAGTGGTGTCATAGCTGTATTCGGTATAGATGATATGTCCTCACTTACTGTCTATTTACTACTAGTAGTAAATATTATTTTACGTTCCACCGAGCTTGACAGAAACCAGTTCACCTTCGTACACCTTTCCGCCCACCATCAGTTCAACCGTAAATAACGAACTCCTTTCATACATTGACGTCACACTATATTGTTAGGGTTGATCAGTAATAAATGCTGCCCCATCCGGATAGTTGTTACCTACCCTCTGATATATGGGGCTCCTAAAACAGTGTACCGAATTCAAGTATTAGCAATACATTTATAACAGAAAGTAGATGTTATCCTCTACCACGACCACAGACTTTACATAAGGTATTCACAAATACCGTGTGTATTTCTCTGACTAATTTTGTACGCATTTCTGTATTTTTTGTACAAAATTAACATTATCACTCACTGACCTCTGGTAGAGAGTAGATTGGTCTAGCTTGGACAGTTTCAATTATTTTTTCTTCCGGGCTTTTAACTTTTTAAAATTCCTCCTACACACGTTTTTATTATCGAAGTTATCGAAATGTTTTTGTAGCTGTAATCCAATTTGTTACATTTAATTGCTAGTTTCTGACTTTTTTAATAATCATTGCACGATCTTTGGTATGTACGCAATTATACTTGATTTTTGATATACTCATACATCTTGTCTACCTATTTTCCTTGTTCATGCAATTTTAGTTGGTCTGGTCTGATAGTAAAGACTGATACCATTACTTGATCTTATACAGTGCCCAATAGTATGCCAGTAACAGCCATTTTAGGCAATCAGAAACTTTGTATGAAACATTTTCTTCTTTGTTGTAGTTTCGACTTGTCAATTTTTGGGCCAATCAACATTTCAAAGCCAGCTTTGTGTATGTGTTTCACCCTTAATGCAAGGTTACGGCCTTCTTTTCTTCTGCCTGTCTCATAAATACTGATTTCTGTTTGTTAAGGGTAATCTTCATTATCTGTCATTACCGTGCGTGGTATCCATTACCCCACCTCGTGATTACTGTGCCCTTGAAGAAAGCGCTGTTAACAGTGGCCTAAGTCAGCCCTCGTTTTCTGAGACGGCGGAGAATAAACAGACTAAAAAGACTTCCATATATATATATATATATATATATATATATATATATATATGGAGAGAGAGAGAGAGAGAGAGAGAGAGATAAATTGAGGTCTTAGAACCAAAATGACCATCTATCTATATAGAGACATATCTGTGAATATCTGTAAAAAATCTATCAGTCGCCCTGGTAGAGGGTAGATTCTTAGTAGCGTGTATAAACCACTTCTACTGGTACTAGTTTCTTAGACAACTCGAATAAAGTCGACATGCCAAGGGATAAACATGATAAAATCATCGATCAGCCAATAAAGAGCTTTAAACTGACACTTCTTTAAAAAAAGAATCCACAGAAAACACGTAGTTGCTACATGTACGTACCAAGGGGTTCTCCAAGAGAAATCCAACCTGGTGAGAAATGTTAAAAGTTTCCAGGTGTCTCCACCACTCCAGGGGCGTAGTCTGGCATACTGCAGTGGTCATGGCGTCCACAGGGCCCTGTCCTCAGAACTATGGCGGTCAAGATGCTGGGCCAGGACTTGGACGAGGAAAACAAATGATCAGGTACGAGTGTTTGTCTGCTACAGGTACACAGATGTACCCCGCACGTTGACGGTTGACGGTAGAGTGTTTTTCATCAAAAGTTTATCTGCTACCGGTACTCATATGTACCCCGCACGTTGACGGTTGACGGTAGAGTGATTTTAATCAAAAGTTTATCTGCTACCGGTACTCATATGTACCCCGCACGTTGACGGTTAACGGTAGAGTGATTTTCGTGCAATGTTTACGTCAAGACCTCAGGGGGAGTGGTTCTATTGTAATCATCATTTGACACCAGATAGACCTCTACCTGTGCTGTATTTTAAGCTGGGTTTACATAGCCCTATTATTATCTGGTGTATTTCACATGTGTAATATACACTAACTCAGGAATCCAATGTTGTTTAATACATGTAAGAGCAGCCATGGTATCACATGCCAGTGCCTCGCTATTGTGTGCTGAACTATTTATTGTCTGATGAACTTTGTATTCTGATAACTTAACAGTGTGATGAACCTCCATCTACCTAAGTCTTGGTGTAGCAGGTGATATAGCGTATTACTCTCTCTCTCTCTCTCTCCGTCTCATAACGTGAGGTTCGTCCGATGAGCTAAAACACCAACATTTCTATTCACCTCATCCATGTCTTGGGCTTCATGTAGTTCTATAGGTTATAATTGCCTAAATAGGTAAATATTTCCTTTATGTAAAATATATTTAACTATATATAAGTACTATATAAAGACATCAGAAAAAATTATAAATTTGTTAACTGGTGTGAGATTGTGATCGGTTTGGGTGGTAACTTCGTCACAAGCCAATCATTATGATGAACATTTCCATTTAAGGGTGTGAAGTACAATCTACTGCTGCTAGCTTCAAATATATTTTGTCTCCAGGGTGTGAGCCTGTTAGTACGGTGTTCTATCAACAGACAAAGATAAATTACTTTAAAGTTTATTTACATCAGAAAACACGTGGAGAAACTTGTTAAAATATGCTTTTTGTTATCAAAGCAATTTTCTACAAAAAAAATTTAAACGTAAAAGCGTGGCTTTTGACCGACAGTCGTATGCAGTATATACATATGCGGAATGCATTCCACGTAAAGGTTATGAAGAAACACCAAAGTGAAACTATTACAAAATCTGTGAAAACATCGACACCGTTACAGCAATATATGTGTAACTCCGAGTGTAACAACTGACCGATTGCGACATTGCGTCCTCAACCTGACACCCTTCACTAGGTACTTGTACCTGGATGGACAGGTCACCTCATCTTTTGTCATAAGGCTGGGAATAGTGTCCAGTTCCCAGTCCCATACGGAGAGAGGTCCACACCGTTAGATTTACTATGGAGAATCAATATCCAAGGTCAAGCACTGCACATCACTCAAGTGAAGTGAGAAACCATAAAGTAGTTTCGGAATTTTAAAAGTTTTAAAAAGAGTTTTAGTGCTTGATTAAAATATAAAGACCTATAAATATAAATGAAAAAACCAAGTTAAGAAAAGCTATGTAACAGTTCTACAAAGTTTTTAGAAGAAAACACATCTCAATATCATAAGTTCTGACGTAAAATCTCTAAAAACAGTATGTAAACGAGTATTCATACATTGCTTAAGATGCTTTCAACTCTTTGATCTGCCGTGCCGTGGGCAAATGTCTCGTTCTTAGGATAAGTAAACTATTGTGACGTCCCCCCAAGCACGCATTGTGGCGCTAGGAACAGCCCTGCAGCTAAACAGTGAAATGCGATTCCAAACTTATAAGTAGTTATGTACTTAGGTGAGAGAAAATAATGACTGTTGAAAAGCCAGTGTTGCGAGAGGCAGATCACGTCCGTCTTGCACATAAAATCTGTGATGCAAGTGATATTTGTGCAGATCAAGATTAAGATGTTACGACGTTACGAAAAGTCCTTAATTCTCCTCGCGTCATTACTAACATGTAGCTCCAATTGTCCGCAACTATGGTAACAGTGACGCCATCTAGGTTCACACGGGAAGTATGTTGGCCACAGTACCGTCCCTGGCACCCCTGAGGTGCTTCATTAACGCTGAAATATGAGGCAAAACGAGAACGATAATTTAAACCTGATAAACAAGGCACAAAAAAACTGTTGGAATCACTTTCATAAATAAAAAGATAAATAAAACGTTTTAAGTAGCTTGGGGGCTTCGAGTTAAACTAAAAACTTTTCCAAGAATATTAAGTTGCACCGAAGAAGTGAACTTTCTCTTCTAAACTGTTTTGTGTATTATACACTAAAATGTTTGATTTCAAACAAAACTTGAACGTAGTCAAGAAATAATTATCTAGAATGGGCCAAAACAGGACACCAAACACGTGGCCCCAACCCTTGCTTTAGTTCCCGCCATGGTGTTGTGACGTCACTGTTAACTCACCCACCTTTGTCGCCTTTACTTTTGGCCGCCTTGCGCAGTCTCTGTGACTCCAAATCATTGTTTGCTTGCAGCAAGAAAAACCTGAGAAAGGTCCATATTCTCAAAGTATTATATCAATACTAAGAACATGAAGATAATCGATTCAGTAGTAACCCAAAGATCTGAGCACAAATAAACCTTTGCAAGTGTGACTGTGCCGCTATCTGCCGGACATGAGATAGTTTACAAGGGTATTTGCAAGCTGACAACCAATAAGGAAGTCTAGTCGTTCTTTGTTAAGAGTAAAACGAAATGCAGATATGTCACATTAACATTAAATCAACTTAACTCATTTATTATAACCTTTGTGCGAGTGCGGCGTAAAATGAAACATGGATCAAAACTGTATTTTAAAATATGTGCTCATGTTGCGCCTTTGAATAAAGTCAAAATAACCTTGGGGTGAAATAATGACTCACTTGATTGCAATCTGAAGGTAGTAACTCCTCAGGTCTGCTAGCACTATAACACACTGGTTATATGCTAGTTTTACCTTCATCGTGCTCTTGCTTACTGAAAGAAAAAAATATCGATGATATTCTGAAAATATCAACTTGTACAATGATGATTTACATTCACGTAGTCGAATCCCATTGTGTAACAGTTAATCTTGTCGACCTGTGTTAATACACATCAGTTACTTTATAATTAACTTATTATGGTAAATACTTATATGTATGTATATATATATATATATATATACTGAGCTTCAGACGCTCGCAGTGCCTCAGGGACGGGCTGTGGCGTTATTTACCACACTGCTTCAGCGACGGTCCGGTGGCTATGGCGTTACTTACCGTACTGCTTCAGCGACGGTCCTGTGGCTATGGCGTTTTTTACCGTACTGCTTCAGCGACGATCCTGTGGCTATGGCGTTACTTACCGTACAGTGTACTTCCTCAGCGACGGCCCGGTGGCTATGGCGTTATTTACTGTACTGCTTCAGCGGCGGTCCTGTGGCTATGGCGTTACTTACCGTACTGCCTCAGCGACGGCCCGGTGGCTATGGCATTACTTACCGTACTTCCTCAGCGACGGTCCTGTGGCTATGGCGTTATTTACCGTACTGCTTCAGCGCGGTCCTGTGGCTATGGCGTGATTTACCGTACTGCTTCAGCGACGGTCCGGTGGCTATGGCGTGATTTACCGTACTGCTTCAGCGACGGTCCGGTGGCTATGGCGTTACTTACCGTACTGCTTCAGCGACGGTCCAGTGGCTATGGCGTTACTTACCGTACTTCCTCAGCGACGGTCCGGTGGCTATGGCGTTCAGAAGAGACCGGTGACAGCTAGGCATGTAGTCGCGCATGCTCTTCAGGTGGGAAGCTACGTCTAGAAATCGAAATTTCTCCTCTATATAATAGTGAGACCGCCGGTTTAAGATATTAGTGACAACCATTTTTTTATTAGTAGGAACAATTCTAATAAGTGTAAACAAAGGAGCCGGTGAGGTGTATTGATAGACGAATTGTTGGCCTATTGTATGAATGTTTTAAAAAGATGTTCATATAATACATGAAGGCGCATGGAATCCTGGCTATGCTTTTATAACCATGTCTCACCCTTTGTGTGTTTTATCCCTAGCACCGTGTCGAATGCTTGCACTATGGGGCTATGGCCGGCACTGCAGCCTAGATACTGGAATAGAACAGAGAAGATCGTGACGTAATCTAGACTGTTGCTGACGTCATACTTCTTCCGTCTTGATCAATCTATTGACAGCGCGGTCAAAACTAAATATCAAACGCTAACTAGTTTTGCTTTAATGTATATTAAGGTATGCGTACGTGTAGCGGAGCCTTCTTGACACCTTCATAAATCAGCCCCTTAGGAAGCAGTGGAGTATGGCTTCCCCAGCTGAAATGATGGAATATAGAGACCAGCTGGAGCAAATGACGTCAGCATAACTGAACATTTGAGGTACTCAGTTAGTCGGTATTGCACCATTTTTGCACCATTAAATTCACTCTTTCTATTAAGTATTTGAATTCAAAAGGTTTATCAAAATTTAAATGCCACACGTTGCTAAGATTAGAAAAAAGTATTAAGGTATTTCATTTGCTTTCCACATCTATATAAAAGCATTGGATAAATTTGGTTTCATTTACTTTTACAGTGTGAATTTATGAACAGCAACATATCAGCTGTCCACTGCGTAACAGCAATATCAAATGTATTTTGATATCTTACCCTTCATAAAATGGCCTCAGGATTTTATAAAAAGCATAAGGATCCAGTTTCTCTGAAATAGAAAAATTAAAACATAAACCCGTTACTAAATATAAAATGTGAATTTGGATGTGACGTTCAAATGTCAGTGACACTGTACGAAGATGTCAATGTATGTTTGTGTAGATACATCTGAGGCAAACAATGTTTACCCACGTGTCTTTACAGACGTCTGTTTAAGGATTTTCTTACGCTTACTTGGTTTAATTACATACTTTATTCATATTTTTCCACTTAAAACAGGACAATATCTGAAATATCTGAATCATTTTCTGACATGACCGTGCTGGCTGTTGGAGAAGCCAGCTACTCTGAGTGTAGAGCGGGAAGACGGTGGTTGTATACTATGGATACGGGAATAAAGAGCAAATAATCCTTTTACTATTTCCACTGGTCACCTTTGCTACGAAAATCAAAACACAGAAATAAAAAGAATTAAAAAGGAAATGAAATTAATGTAGTTATAATGGCGTGCGTCGCCACCGTTTATCAAGAATTACCATGTAACATAGATAAGGTATCCTCCATCCTTTGGATAGTGTCCTCTATACTTGCTAGTGCTGAAACCAGGCCGGTATTATCACCGGACTCCACCGAGTCGAACGCTTTGATAAAATACTGAAAGTTGTGGAAAATAACACTGATCACATACTGGGTACTATATGCACAGGAAGTATTGCAGTTTTGCATGCAGACAGGAGGCATTCGTCAAATACGGGTGTCAAATCAATCTCTGTTTATTGGTCGCACAGAGACATTGAACCTACTGAACTTCTTCGAAAGGTGAAGCATGAATTTGCTTTTAGGTGGTTATTTGCTAATGCTAAATGATTTAACAATAACAAAATTGAATGTACCAAAGGAATAAAATCTACAAAAGAGTTTAATAAATAAAAACAGAAAAAATTAAAGAAGGCAAACCGATTTACCATTTTTGTTAAAATCACTGGCTTAAGAACCCTGACATTTTGTGTTTTACCTTAAACACGCATGCGTGTTCCAGTTCCACTTGTACTGCCACGTGATTGTACCATTCGGTCCTAGGACTGCCTGGCACGTGACAGATCATGTCCAGGGGACTGCCCAGAACAGGGAATGGAGGTCATAATAATTATTGGTATAATGTATATGATTCACTGATGTTATAAATGTAATTAATACATAACGAATTTAATTAATAAATAGAATGAATTTGATAAATAGACATAATGATATAATAAACATTATTAACAGATATGATAATAATAATTTATACATATAATTAAAATAATCAATAGTTAAAATGGATATAATTCTAATCGTTAAAATAACTATCCCTTCTACACTCTTGCTTATGATCATGTATTTTCTGATCACCATAATGATCCCTCTCTAGCAGGGGCGGATCCAGAGATATTTTCTGACAGTCTTCCGAATTATCATTGTTGATCCGTCCTCCATTTTTGATTATCTTCCGACAGAAAAAAATAGATACCCGTCAATGTAAATCTGACCGTCTTCCAAAAGACCCGAAGACGGCCTCAATCCATCCCTGTCTGGCATCCTCACCACTGCAGTCTTCAGTCGTTGATTGGAATAGTTAGTTTGATAGTAAAGAGCTTGTTATTATTGTTGTTTGACTCACCAAAATTCAATTTTCCTTTTATTTACCTGGCGAGTAACAGTACAGTGATTTACCTTTTACGGGAGGCGTAGTGCCAGTTGGCCAGCATGTCCAGACAGCAGTAGACCGGTTTAAGTCCAAGGTACTCGGACACGTGATACCAGGGCACAGCAATACAGCGGGGGAGAACCTGGCGTCGGAGAGATGTACATTATGTTAGACGTCCAGTCAGACTTCATCAAACTTTGTCACATCTAACACAACCTCATTCCCTGATGAAGTCTGACTGCAAGCAGACAAAATATTGGCTGGTAAGACAAGACAAATATAAGAAGCTATAGACAAAGGAATCTTCACAAGTCTATTACAATAACATAGCTAATGAAATTGATCTACAACAGTCCTGCCAATGTACTGCCCACTGCACGCCGTCAGCCTGTTTTCTTTTAACCAAAATCTGTGCAGCTGCGGCTTGTATCAGAGTTGCACCAATTTCAGTTGCGTAAACAGCACGTACCTTTGGGACGCCCACCTCTCCCTCCTGCCATACAAAGCTGTGAGCTATGGTGGACAGCAGCAGGTGCGCCAGGCAGTACTCTCTGTATCCGTTCAGCTTGGTGTGGTCCAGGCACGGCATCTACAGGTAAGATAGATAGAATACTGTAGGGGGATGGACTGAATCTCATCCCCATATTTACAAAAATGACACGCCTCCTTGAACATCTAGAGGCGTTTTAAGTTTTAAGTTAAAACTTCCGTGTGCTGCTCGAGGCAGCATCTGATTGCATTTAGCGAGAGTTCCCAGAGTTGGATCGTTCTGCCTAGTACGATAGTTAGGGCGTATTCCCATAGATTTTAGATCGATCTATCCCCGGCCCCAGATTACTGTCAGATAATCCGGCTTAAATGTCCGTCCCGCCTACTGCAAGCTGTAAGGGGGTAATTAACTTTCGTGCCCGCTCGGCTGACAGCTATTTAGCGTGAACCCCCAGGGAGTTAGGTCGATCTAGTTTGGATCGATCTGAACTCTGGGAACGGGGTCTTACATCAGTACGCACCCTAAGTAAAGGGTACATATGTGGAATTTGATATAAGAGCAAAACTGAACCTTCCTTTACGTCATGAGTTGATATAGAGCTAGTATAATTACATATTGAATTCAGTTGTAAATCTTACAGTTTTTGTTTGAGAAAAAAATTTGATCAACAAAAACAACAGTCAAAAATAAAACGCAAACGCCTGAATAACTTCTACATGTGAGTGTACTTACCAAGGCAACCTCATTGCGTAAATCTTTTTGCCTGCATCAGGGACCAGGCGTTTTTTCCTATATCATTCCAAATGTGAAAGTAGTTTGGAAGTTCTGTCTGTAAATATAAAAATGGTTTAACAGTAATAAACAGACAAAGGATTCACTTGGAAAGATCAAAATTAGGTCCTGACTACGAGGCGTTGGTTATACTTTTTCACGACAGGATCCCGCTAACGGTCTTTCTACAGCGATAGGAATTATAAAATAACCCACTGAGATGCAACATAAGTAATAAATGGTGTAACGAGAAGTTAAAGTGAATTCGCTTAAGACTGATTGACCTCATTCGTGAGAATCTCCCTCAGTTCACTTGATGGTAAAACAACCCTATCCATATCTACAAGGCATAAAGCCATTTAAGAAATGCCAATGATCATTATCAATAAAAATCACAAGGAAACAAGGTATGTCATGTGCTCTCAAATGGGCGGGGCGGACATACAGGTGTCTGCTAATGACGGCCTTTAAGGACCCGTCGGCTCATTAGGAAGAGGCAATTAAGGTTAGAAGGTGTGACTGGAATTAGCCGCACGGTAAAATGCAGAGTAAACTGTTAAGTCGATCAAGGTTTGTGGCTTTCTTGATACACCTGTATGTTTTGTTATGCCTTTACATTTTCTTCATGGCAACATCATTTTGTTAGGAAATAAACCTGACAACAAATAAAAAATCTTTTCCGTATAAAGATGTTCCTACAGATGTTTTCTACAGAAACCGCGCGTTTACTTCATTATACTGTACGTATTTTATAATGTCCCACTGACAAGGCTTTGTGTATGAATATCCTTCAAATCAACTTATCTTTCCAAATTTGTACCTTAAAAACGACAAAATGACTCAATTAAAGTACTACATGCAGAAGCAATCGTGAAATAGAAATTATTTGCACGCCGCTCCTATGCTTTTAGTACTGATAAGATGTAACACAAGCCCATACATAACTTAAATAGCAGTAAATAAATAGTTTCATTTGTCAACAGCTATAGAAACTGTAACTGAATCCTACCAACCAATATTCTCCGTAGCAATGATTGCTATTTATTCTGCCCGACAGCGTTATATCATGTGGCCATTTGCTAAAATGTAGTAAAACAGATATTCTCACCAGTGGCTGCTCGAAAGCAAATCCATAATCCAGGGATACCTTGAAGTCGTGAAGCCTTTTCCACCACGGTGTCTTAGGGTTGGATCCCATGGCTGCCGTTATGTTTTCCTCCCTTTTTGGCTATACAGTGTAGAAACTCTCCTAGCCAGTGTGGTATTTGGTGTAAGTCCAACTCTTGTCAAGTCATCTGGCAGAGGTCTGGGCAGTCATATCAGCGTCACTTTATCATATAGGGTGTAAAAATCAAAGGTACCGAAAGGTGCCCCCTTCGGGCTGTCAATTACGTCACGCCCCGCCCACCCCGCTCCTGAGACGACAATCAATCCACCAGCAAGCCGCTTCCTTTATTATCATCATGAAATGACAAATGTTATCCAGGCTACGCCCATGCTGTTCCCTAAAATAACTACTACTCTTCTTGTTAGTCTCTACCGAAAGCCTCACTGCGCCCTGAATAGGCCTAATGGTTGCAAAGATTGTAGAGCTATAAAGGAGAACGCAGAATTCTGCTACAGGTAAAATAGAGGACCTCCTTTATTCTGCATGTTTTAAAATATACTTGGTGGTTTACATAGCAAAATTGAGGTTCATAATAAATGTTTCTTTTCTTAAGTTTTGTAGAGGTAGAATGTAAGAAAAAGCGTATTTCATATTAAATATAAAGGACAGCTAGCTATGCACATAATAAACATTTAACTGTTAAAACATATCATAACACAGGACAAATTTTACTTAATCCTTTCATCCAATAACACCTACTAATTCTTTGTAAAATTATGATGATATAAGGTTAAAAATGTTACTTAAATTTTAAATCTTTGGTTATTTTTAAACAAAGTTTCATGTAATCATGCTCACTTAAATCATCTTAATAATCGATGCAACCATACAAAACAAATAATTTATGATCTCACTCTAATATTTAACATTCAATACATACGAGAATCAAATAAACTACAAAAAGATGCAACCCTCATATAGTTAATGCAGGTCACTAGTATTGTAACTTTAATAGCGATAACTTATATATAACAATACCATATAATCAATGTCCTTTCCTTTTAAAATTATATTAGATATTTGTATTTGTTTTAAACATCAAATTATTTAAAGGCGTTTTGTTAATTAAAAGCATGATGCATGAAAATCTAATAATATACATGTAAAAACGTGTACTGGTATTTCTTCAGCCAGTCCCTTCATCATGGAGACGGAGGTTTTGTCTTTTGCAATGTCTATCGAAGTTTTCACAGTAAGCGTATAACGTGGTGGCTGGTGATGACTATTCTATGTACGGCTGGATGCCTCTAACGCCCAATAACTAGGACTCCCGAGTTGGTCTTCAACTTCAAATCAGAATTTCTCACCTGGGCAAATGAAGCAAAATGATCATATATAAACAAAAACAATACAACAAGGACAGAATCGTACTGTAAAATGCATGTGTTACTCTCTTTAGATTGGTAGAAAGTTGACAGAAAGCCCGCGCACGTGTAACTAACAAATCACAATTATCAGTATAACGTCAAAAGTTCCGAAATAAATATTAAGCAGACGATTAGCGAAAGGATTTTTACCACAAATATTTCCACTAAATATGTGTTCGTGATTAAAAAAAAAATTATATCCTGATTTATATCTATATAGCCCACCATTGTTTGCGACTTTATCGCGTCCCCAGCATTGCTGACGACGGTGACCTCTGACCTCAGAGTAACATCCGGTAACGTGGCTCCACCTGGGGAGAGGAACAGGGTTGCAAACTTGCATTTACCGCCTTCCACGCGGCACGTGCACTCCGGGGATGCGCACGTTCCATCTGAATTCTGAATTGGATTTAACAAATAAACATATTGTTGTGTAGATATCGCATTCCTGGTCACTTTACGTGTCAAAGTGGCCATAAGATAAACTTTTTTAACCCATGGTTCCTCTGCTGTGGATAAAAGTAGAGAGGAAGCAATACGTTTGTTTTGACCTCTGTACGTTACTACTACTTTCGAAAGATTTTCAATATATAAATATCTAGCGGTGCTGATGACGTCATTAAAATAAAGGCCAATCACAACTTAGAAACACTCAGATATCGTCACAATATTAAAGCCCTCCATGGCACTGACCGAGTAGTTACGGCCGTACACTGCGGACCCCGTGCTGAGGATATAAAGTGTCCACTCGATGTAATGGATGCCACTTACTGACTCCTGGGCTTCGACGTGTATTCTGAAATATGTTCCTTTTTGTATTACTAGTTATAGTTTCAAATGTTTACAATGATAGGAATCATCGCACTAGAATTGAGACTTTCGGTTACTAAAGAAGTAAACGCGTTTTCTTTAATCTCTCTTGTTGTCTAAACTTCTTGTCCTTGCAGGACGTTGACTGTCAAGGACCTCCACAACTCCCTGTTTTCAGATGAAACACTCATCTTTCTTTAACACACCCATCTTTCTTTAATATACAGCTAGAAATTACCTAAGAGCAGGCTACAGCTTGACATAGCAGGATATATGCTTCCCATATATAGGCCAGTCAATAAACAACTTAGGTTGGAAAAAATTGGTGACAAAGGTTTCTCAACTGTTTCTGGTCCGTTGAAGGCCCAATATAGCTAAAAAAATTTCCCCCATGAATCCCCCCATGGCAAAGTCTCGTTTTCCACAAAAATCCAAAATGGCCGCTATTGAATGGGGTGGGTGGACTTGAAATCCATAACTTGGGAACCCAATGTCACAGAAACATGTTTTTAGTATCAACTCCTACTAAGTGAGGGATCCCCAATCTTTTGCAACTAGTCTCAAGGTCACTGGGGGTCAAGGTCATGACCTTAGTACAAGATCAAGGCATTTTTGGAGAAAAAAAACCCATAATGTCTATATGACAGTTTCCCAATGTCACAGAAACATGTTTTAAGTATCAACTCCTATTAAGTGAGTGATCCCCAATCTTTTTCATTTAATCTCAAGGTCACTGGAGGTTAAGGTCATGACCTTATTACAAGGTCAAAGCATTTTTGGAGGAAAAAAAACCCGTAATGTCTATATGACAGTTTCCCAATGTCACAGAAACATGTTTTACGTATCAATTCCTAGTAAGTGAGTTATCCCCAATCTTTTGCAACTAGTCTCAAGGTCACTCGAGGTCAAGGTCAAGACCTTATTACAAGGTCAAAGCATTTTTGGAGCAAAAAAACCCATAATGTCTATATGGCAGTTCCCCTGTTATCATAGAAACATGTTATAAGAAACAATTTCAACCAAGTGGGACACTGCCAAACACTTGCAACTATTTTCAAGGTCACCAGAGGCCAAGATTATGAAAAAATTTCAAGGGCATGGTATTTTCCAAGTGAATTATATCATATTATATATAACTTGGTAACCGTATGTCACTAAAACATGCATGTTTAATGTATCAATTCCTACTAAATGAGAAGTTAACCATTAAATGTAACTAATTTAAAGGTCACCAGAGGTTAAGGTTATGACCACTAATTACAAGGTCGTAAGATTTCCAAGCGAAATTCCATAATTTCTCAATTACCAAATGTTACAGAAACGTGTTTAGCGTGCCAATAATGCCTTGTAAATGGGGTCCTGTTTATCATTTGCAACTATTTTCAAAATCTAGGAGGTACAGGATTGACCTTATTGCAAGGTCATCATGAAATTTAATGAAAATTTGATTCTAGGGTGATCTCGGTACAACACATAAGATTGTTTAAGAGCAAAATATGCATCTCCATTTTTTATGACAAATGTTACATTTTATACAGCGACCTGAGCCCATTGTTGTTTGATGTAAATACTTCCATTTTAATACCGGTACTATTGGCATAAGCTCTCTTCTTATCTGCCCAATGATTGACCTAAAGCCTTCTTGTCCCACCTTTGTATGTATGATCTACTTTGGAGTATCTGTGTGCCATTGTAGAGAGGAGATAGTGGATAAAGCACAATTATTTGCCCATTTAATCAGTATCTGTATTTGGTTGCTTTTATGACAACCAAAGGCTAGCCATTACTGAATTGCCAATGGTAAAATGTGTTGATTCTTAATGGTTGATTCAATACCTTTAGCTCCGACGCTGCTCCGTCATGGATGGGTGAGGTCAAAAAGCTATACCCTCTCCCAAGCCTACTGAGCATGCTGTTGCAAGTCGATACTTGGGTTAATTGGGTAATTTTAATGTGCTGAGTGGAAAATTAGTAACTTGTCTTGTGTGAAGACAAACTTGTAGATGGTGCCCTTTGAGCGACATTTCAGCATCTGTTTTCCTAAATATCCCAATTCTTGGTCCTGCAGTGGGATTCTGAAATAAGCAGCAGGCCACTTGCTGGGGAGAACTTGTTGAGTGAACTCTCTATTAGAAAGTGTAATATGTTTTGGTCGACAAACTTTAAAGCTGCTGTTTTTTGGTGTGCTCATCTGTGTCAAAAGTAGTTATATGTTTTTCATATCATGCCAGCTCCTGTCAGATTGGAGAACTAGTACTGAGACATGATCGCAAACTGGAAGTTTTTATCAGGTCTGTTAGGATAGGAAACTGGCTACAGGCTCTCACCATCATCCTTCGTTTACTTTGCTGCATCTCATTCGACAGTCATTATGACAAGCTAGCAGTCTCAAAAGGGGGGACGGGGGCTTTTTCTGAAAAAAGTGGACCTAGAAATATTTGTGTACCTAGACAAAATTTTACTCAGAATGCCACTGGCTACAGGCCTGTATTTGATGGTCAAAGCACCAAGGACAAGGGACGTACAAACAGTTGTAGCTGTGGGCGAGGATCTAACACGTATGTAAAGGACTTTGTATCCTTCAGTTTGAAGCTCATCATGTAACTAGTCTCATGTAACTAGCCTTCTAACAAATATCAGTTGATCAGGTGGTAATAAATGCTTATTGAATGTTGTGCATTAATGCAGACTGCCTTATCCTCAAGTTGCACTGAAGTAAAAAGTCCAACTTATCTGCAGAGGACACATTTGCCTTTTAACCACTGTCCACCATGCAGTCAAATTGCTCCTTGAATTTGTCCAGGAAAATGTATTTCTTCTCTGAAAGGGACTCTTTTATTTGACCATACCCCACAACTACATGTAGACCTACTGTTAGTATAGAGACCCACAGCTAGCAATTGTGATAAACTTGTGGCTAGTAAGTTTGAAGATTTGAGAGAAGCACTGGAAGTGTATATCAATGATAAATCAACATTTGATGGTTTTTAAAAGCTGGAGTGAAACGGTTACGGATGTTCAAATGGTGTAGCAACCTGTCTTCTGGGCAAGAAGGTAATTACCATAAAAAGGTGTCATTCCACCTGGTTATATTTCCCCCCAGCCTGTGGCCAATATAAAACGTCCTCATTTCTAATTCCATAATATTTTATCTAAATGTTTATGTACCCAAAATGAATTAATTCCCCCATTGCAGTATTATAGAATGCTGTAATATTCCAATTTTTTACATGTCTTATGTGAGGCTACAATGGTTATTGTGTAATAGGCTGTCTTTGCCCAGTATAAAACAATTTTATGTCATGTTATTAAGCTTTAAAGGTCTCCCACATGTATCTGAAGTTTTGAAGAAATGTAATTGCTCGACTCCTCCCTGCAATAGAATAGGAAGTTTTGAACAATGTAGTTCTGACATATAGTGGAATATTCACACAAGGTTCAGGTACTTGATGTTTTTTTTCACTTTTAGTTCCTGTATAATGTAAAACACAGCTTTATTTAAACATATATCTGTATAACACTTAGTGATTTTGAAATGGGTACAGTATACCCTTAAGCCTTGTAAACCGAATGTCATTGATTTAAATGAGTACCATGCAGTAGTGCCGATGCCTTTTCTGTAATGAAATATTCCTTAAACAATCACCTGTGTTGTTTTTGATTAGTGTTAAATCAATTTTTCTTAAATGTTATAACAACCTTGTTATAAGGATAAGGATAGAAATAGTTTAAAATGATCGGCAATATGAAACTTAGTATGAATCGATACTTTCAACATGTTTCTGTGACATAGGGTTATCAAAATATAGACATGATGGCATTTTGTTCAAGCTTAAAATGCCATGACCTTGAAAATAAGGTCATGACATTGACCTCTGGTGGCCTAGAAAACATTTACAAATTATTCGCAGAACCTCACTTAGCAGGAAATGATATTTAAACATGCTTCTGTGACATCCAATTACAAAGGTTTATATAATATGGGAATTTTCTGCTCGAAAAATGCAGCGTCCTTGAAATTAGGGTCANATTTATAGTTTCAAATGTTTACAATGATAGGAATCATCGCACTAGAATTGAGACTTTCGGTTACTAAAGAAGTAAACGCGTTTTCTTTAATCTCTCTTGTTGTCTAAACTTCTTGTCCTTGCAGGACGTTGACTGTCAAGGACCTCCACAACTCCCTGTTTTCAGATGAAACACTCATCTTTCTTTAACACACCCATCTTTCTTTAATATACAGCTAGAAATTACCTAAGAGCAGGCTACAGCTTGACATAGCAGGATATATGCTTCCCATAGTCAAATCTTGGGCATATATATAACGTAATTTTGTCCATGGTTAAAGAATTACAATAACTTGAATACTACTGACCATGTGGTTAAATATATTCACAAAGTAATAGTAGCACACGTTTCTCTACTATAACAAAATCAACCTAAAGATATGTTCTGTAAACAATTTACATGTGTTAGAGGAATGACGATATGTTTTTACTAAAGCATTACCTTCCGTTGAATACGATCTGACGGCTGATGGTTGGAGTGGAATTATAAACTTTTACTGTAACTCTGTCTATTACTTCACTTCCCATGAGGTCAACGGCCTTGACCCAGGCTCTGATGACCTTAGCTGTCTTAGGGACATGAAGTCTGTACTGTTGCTTGCTCGGATCAGCGACTACCTGCCAACTTGTTGGTTGTGATAATTTGGCAACTGCCTCAGAGTTGTACATTCCAACAGCAACTAGAAACTTGACAATCCCATTAGTGTTCTGGAAAAGTGCATCTCAAAGTGAAAATGGATATAAGAATAGAGCAGAATTATTTGTAATCTATATTGATGCGATAACTGACATCAGGTAGACGTAATATACAGTAAACCTTACGAAGGCACAGACAATGCACAGTCAAGAAATCGGAATACAGCGGTACAGACCAACTGTCGTCTCTGTAAACATCGATATTTACCAGTACGCCTGAAATTGACTTGCAGTCATACCCCGGCTCTATGGCAGGTGAGAAACTACTAATGTCACCCAGGTAACCGTTGTCCTTGAGAAAACGATTCACAAACACATTATGGAAATCTACAGTCACTTCGCTACCAGCTCCATTGGACCATCCCCCAGAACTCCTGACTATCTTGACACGGGCACCTGCTACTAGTTCTGGTTTGTGCTTATTGACGTCATAATACAGAATACATCGCCTAGCCAACGTGCTGTGACCCGCCTTGTCTTGTACCTTTAATACAACGGAGTACAATCCGTAATGGCTCAGCTTAACGTCTACAGGTAACTTATCACTAGGGTAGACTACTGCCTTGATATCTGAACCATTGCTTCTAAGCTCTTCGGTGAGAAACCCATCAGAACCGGTCTTCAGCGGGAAGATCATGTAGGTATAGTTAGATATACCGGAGGTAGAATCCGCCCAACCGGACCAACTAATACTGAAATTTGCCTATATAACAGAGAGAAATATATATATATATTTTTACTTTTTACTTTATATATATATATATATATATATATATATATATATATATATATATATATATATATATAATTTTTTCTACGGTATTGGATTTTTAACGTTTAACTGCTATAAATCGGTCAGATGCTTTAATATTTTTTAATATGAAAATTTTAAAATGCTGAGTACCTTTGCAAAACAAACTCCCTATGCGATATCAATACATATTAAAATATGCACGATGGGTGGCTATGAAAGTTGCATGGCAAGTCGGTTGGAAAACTATTGTGGATGTGTAATATATGTACGGTATAAAGTGCGTATAGAAAGGCACTATTTAACGCATAATTCTGACAAAATCATGAACTTTTAATGTTACCGTTTTAATAATTGGGTTTCCAACGTCCAACATTTTGTCTTGACAGTTGTAGCTAATGGAGCAGTGAAACGGCTTCATAAAGTCAAAAGTCACTTCCACGTGTCTTCTCACTGTCTGGCCCTGGAAGTAACGGCGGTCAGCTGAAGACAGAGGGCCGCTATGGGCCGCAGGGGGTTGTATATCAACGTAACCGCCGTTTCTTGCAAAAACTGTCAGACTAACCCTGAGGTAAACAATGTCAATATTTAGCTGTTGAATGAAGAAGAAATTACTTTAATTTTATAACATAACGCAGCTGATAAAATTCTTCCCCAAAGTTACTATACGAGTCGATACATTCACGTCCGCCATGAACGCTAATTCTCCGAGACTTAAGGACAAAAACGGTTTTGTGTCTTTTGCCCAAAACATCTCCCAAATGCTGTCTTACTTTCTGATATAGGTAGTTAATAAAGTGTTAGGTGTTCACTTACACATCTCCCTCCATAAACTCCCAGATGACATAAGTAGAACCATAGCAGTTCAAATATTGCATAGGGTTGTCCGGACTTGGCTGGATCCGACAACTTATATTTGCTTTTAGCTGTTCTGTGTGTCCTGAAATGTAGACGGCTGTTTGATATAAATGATGTTAATCTTAAGTGTCTCTCATAAGTATTTTTATTTTAATATAACAACATATTCACGCAGGGGCAATACTATCAGTGAACTATTGTAATTGTCACGGTAATTATATGGAAGGTGAATGGCGCGTCCATACGTATTTCAGCTGATAGAAAAGCTTGTCACCGAGATTATTCTTTTACTTAAGTCCTGCTTAGAAATTAACAACCTGCGAATTTTCAATTATGTCATCGCTAAAACTAAAGCCATGCTTAGAAGAGCCTCACCTCTCATAATAGAAAAAGTCGCACCGGCATCAACAATCCCAACAGCTACAGACGGTATGTAGGCATGCCCGGGCGGGAGGGCAGGACGGGACGCTAGGGTCACGTTTATACGGATTTCCTGAGCTTTCCGCAGGCCACTATAACCTAAAACAGTGCCCTGTGTCATGTCAGTTAATTCCACGTCTAATGCATCACGTCCGTACACCACGGCTACTTCACCCGTCACAACTGTAGGGGGATCTGTAACTGAAACAATACAGGCGGTAATACAAGACATCTTGAATATTATCTTTTTATCCCCATTCTTGTAATAAAAGTTGAAAACTAATCCTCGAATACATTTGATGACGGAGACAGATAAAGTAAATTTCATTTCAGAAAAGAGAAGTATTATTGAGAGATCAGATAGGAGAACACCAAAATCCGGAAAGGTAACTTATGAATGTGACAATAAAAATTGCGTGCACGTGTGCAACGTGTGCTTAAAAACCTGGTAACTTTTCTTCGGCAAAATTATAAACACAAGTTTTGTTGCATGTTTGCGTTTTGATCAGATATTAAAAAGTGTGGGTTCAAACATATTAAAAAGATAACAACTCGTCATATGACATGCATATTTCACAATAAATACATTGTAAACAAAGAAAGAACATGTTCAGAAAAATGTGTGATAGTTGTCAAGTATTTTGAAAACACAGCGGAAACTTGTGACTGTGTTTTATTAAAAACGTATATATTGCATTTATCATACTGTCTGCTATGCTATTGGCTGTTTGTCAAGTCGTATTAAAAAAGCATCCTATGTCTCACAGTGAACCTCATATGATAACGAGATAACGGGTGTGGGAAAAACAAACAGCGTGTTGTCGCTATGTGCCAATGATAACAAGTGTAACAGGAGGACGGTTATTGCACAACCAGTGTTTGTGTGCATTCTCTTATTAATGACAAAGGACTCTGTGGACTTAGGCAACCATCACAGTTCGTAGCAAGTTTGGCATCCAAATGTATGCAAAGCCAGCGGGTCATGACAACCAACAAACTACCAATAACCCCCAAACCAAATGTCTAGTCCATCCCATCGGACATACTAGTAACGTGCACGTGTTCGGACAACGCCCATCAATGATTTCTACCCCCAACTGTGGTACTTACCTATACATGACTTTTGGGCCACTTGGAACCCGGCCATGCACTCGCATCTGAAGCTTCCAGCTGTGTTCACACATTTATATTCACAGCCTCCGCCATTGGTCCTGCATTCGTCAATATCGACAGCCTCTGGAATGAATTCGAACAACAAAGGAGCAGTCAGGCACCAATTAATTCAAAAGCATTATCTTGTATGAAGACTGTATTTCTACCAGATGGGCGTAGTATTTAAAGATCCAATATTGCCCACTAAACCGTTCTGTGCTCGGAAGTCCCATTGCCCACTCACCGTACTGTGCTCGGAAGTCCCATTGCCCACTCACCGTACTGTGCTCAGAAGTCCCATTGCCCACTCACCGTACTGTGCTCAGAAGTCCCATTGCCCACTCACCGTACTTAGCTCGGAATCCGTAATAGCGTTCATGACCATCTGATGTGAAGTGGAAGGTCAAAAAGCGTCCAGCCGAGTTGATCGGATTAACCGGTCTGCCCCAGTGGCTGTTTTTTAACGTCCCCCTCAGCTTGCTGGTGCCATTGCTCTCATAGACATGGAGATAATCGCCAGCAGCTAAAGTCAAGACTGTAGTAAACGTCACCTTGATGGTGTAACCGTCTGGTACTACTATGTACCAGTAACAATCCTCGTTGTCCTGGTAGTAGGTGTTTTCACGAGCGGCAGCGAAGGTTCCAGACAGGTTGTCAAGGAGATACTTGCCATTATTGCATGTCTGAGCAAAAAGGAAACGGCCATTTAACTTTTATGACGTTCACTGTTCCATATATTTCATTAACAAAGCAAATGTTTTGCCAAATAACTCTCCCTCAAACACGCACTATACTCTCCCTCAAACACGCGGTATACTCTCCCTCAAACACGCACTATACTCTCCCTCAAACACGTGGTAAACTCTCCCTCAAACTCGCGGTATACTCTCCCTCAAACACACACTATACTCTCCCTTAAACACGCACTATACTCTCTCTCAAACACGCACTATACTCTCCCTCAAACACGCGGTATACTCTCCCTCAAACACGCGGTATACTCTCCCTCAAACACGCACTATACACTCCCTCAATCACGCGCAATACCCGCCCTCAATCACGC